TGACGATATGAAGGTCGGAGACTGAAGCCGAAAGTAAGGCTGGCCGGCTTGGCACCTCCAAAATATGCTCAGACTCGTCCATGTCTTCGGGAACATGGTCGGGCCCCCAGAAGAGGCCTCGCATTTCTCGGATAGATTGAGACGCATTTGCATAAGCTGTGCTGATTCTTTTCTTCCAGCTTTGCGCATTATAAATATTGAGCTTTTCCCTCGCTTCGCTCTCATATACCCGCGTAGTTCCGGTGAGCGACGGAGGATCGCCTTCGGGGTCATATCGAGGGGTATGATTGTAATTCACGCCATGGCCGTGCCGTCCATCGGTGTTGTAATTCCGGTTGGGTGTCGGCGCTGAGTTGCTTGATGCCTTTGTGTGGAATGTTGTGCGCGAGCGTAACTTGGTAGATTCAATGCGAGATTCTTCTTCCCGAATACGCTTGATCTTGAGTTTGAAAGCCTCTTCGCGGGCTAGCCGTTGAATCTGCTCGGTGAGGCCCACGCGGTATATCATTCCCAGCTTCCATTCGAATGCTCCATCTTCCAGTTCAAACAGGAAGCTGCGCGTCCGTAACGAGACCTTGGGTACATTCTTCGGCCCCTCGGGCCCTTTGTCTAAGATGTACTCATTTGTTCCCGTCTTAAACCTGTGATGAAGCTGCTGCACGGACTTGAAGACGTTGACAATATTGTCCGTGATATGGTATACGATTGTCTCGTGAGGTACGGCAACTCGAATAGCCTCTGCGGCGATATCAAACAGCTTCTCTTCGCCATAGCTACCTGACGCGAGCTTGTGGCGCGATCTCCGGTAGTCTATTCGCCAGGCTTTGACGCTTACCACCCTTGCCCAGACTCGATGCATACGCGGCGCTCCGACATAGAGGCGGGCAAGTCTGGAAGTTACATAGGGCGGGGACCAGCGCTGACGGCCGGCTTCGAGGCCGTGGACCTGTAGCATCAGAGGGGGGTCATGAGGCATGTCCCCTTTGAGCTGAAGCAGGGCGACTTTGAAGTCCACGGTAAACAGTTCTGGCAGAGAAGTACCGCGTGGTGCTAGAGCTGGCGAGTTTGGAGGGGCAAGATGATCCATAATAGCAGTGGCCCTTGGTGACATGGTTGATTTTGATGAGGTGGTAGTGGTAGGCACCCTCCTAGATCCTAGGAATGCTTTCCGGAGGACTAACGCGGCAAGGCCCACTGAGTAGTGACGGTAAAGAGAATAGTTGATTAGGATAGATCGGAAATTTGCTTGGAGTTGGAACAGGGGTCCTTGACCATCACTCAGGGCAGATAGGGCAATGTCGAATCTCGGCATTCGCAGAAAAGGGTCCATCTCTAACTTATCAGCAGCTTCGACCATGTACGTCTCGAGGCCCTTGACGTAAAACGCAAGGCGCCGCCCGTCCCCGGGAGTTTGCTGCTTCTTCCGAGGAGATGGGGAAGTAGGGGGTCTCGTAAAGTCTGCGTCCGGGGTTAGTGATCGATTGCTAGCCCTTCTCCTCGATTGTCGTCGTTGAAGCCCTTCCAGCCTTTGCGCTCGATATTCCACTCCAATGGAATCAAGCTGGAGAGATATTCCTCGCCTGTCATCGGAGAGATGCTCATCAACCCCGGCCACCTCGAGACTAAAGTCAGAAATCTGGATCTGAAGGTGCAGCAACCAGGATGGCATTGTTCGCAGGAAGTTGCGCGGGGATGGAGGTCGTCTTTCGGTTACCCGGTTGGGATCGGGGTCGAGACGTAGTTGCTGGAAAATCTCCTGAAGGCCGTCCGTGATCTCGGGACGGACAAGTTTCGCTGTTAATGCTTGAATATTGCCGTTGGCAACTACACAGATGTTCGGGGCGGCGCTGATCTGGAACTTCATGTCGAAGGCTTCCGTTTGCAAGAGATCGAATCGATTACCGATCGACGTTTGATAGTAAAGTTCGTGAGACTGGAGCCTCGTCGTGGCGACGAGCGAGTAGTGCACCTCCTCGTATGTTGAGTGGTAAGACTCCATATCCAACGAAAACGACGAGATGGATGAAATGATTAAATCAAAGTCGTCGGATTCGGCAGATTGCTCGACCGGGGGTAGCGCGATCCTCACCACAGGTTCGTGCATGGAGAGCTTGATAGTCGCCTTGGGGAGAAGTCGTGACATTAGTACGTGGCGTCTCGATGTTCTTGGTTGCCGTGTTTGCGGAGGACGCGGCCTTGATTTTAAGAGGGCGAGGACGAGGGCAATATGGCGTGGATCAAGGTCAATAGAAGGTGAAGTGACCACGGAATTTGCAAATAATATGTTCGCATTACGCTCTTCCGGGCTGCCGTCCTTTGCCAGCTTTACCGTTTTCGAAGGAAGTGTTGTCCTGACAGTCGTTGTTGCCATCGGGACATAAAGGATCCTCTCGGGTTTGCCCTGCCCGTCGTCGAGACCAATGGACACGGAGAGCGCAGCCGCAAGGGCTTCGTGGGCAACATCTTGAGAGGGGAAGTACATCTGGTGGACTGGAGACTTTGGATCAAGGCGATGGAGGTCAAAGCCTACTTCTTTCATAGAAGCAGTTAACTGCAAAGGGGCGCCATCTGAATGCACTTTCTTGGAGAGCCCAATAAAGCTCACAGCAAACTGCACCTCCTTGATTCCCTTAACCAGTGCTGAGATAAACTCCTTGGAATTAGCAAGGGTTTCCATGAGATCCTCATCTGTGTGGAAGTCATCAAAGCTACTGAATGCTGAGCCTGTAGTCGACGGTTCCTGGCTCATGACTGGCCGGGCCACCTTTGGAGGGGCCTTTTTGCACCGCTTATAGTGCTTGAGAGCTAGTGAAATGTCGTCATAAGGAATGTGGACCCGACCCAGCTTGAGAGCAATGCTCATATCTCGAAGGGTACCAAGATTTTCTGATAGGTAGGCGTTGACATTGAGGGTAGCATTATCAAGAACCTCGAGGGGCTCTCTCCCTTCGGAGGTGAAGAGAACGCTTTTCAAACTCAGTGTCCACTCGGCCTGCTGATCCTGCTTCTTCCTATCGGCTCTCGCGGCAAAGAAGAAACGCGCCCGATCTACCATCTTGCGACGAGTATCGACCGCTGCGGTTAGACTGCCAATCTGGACACTGCCGACTTTGACAACATTGATTGTCGTGTTCGTAGCGACAATATCAACCATTCGCAGCCAATGCACGTTGTTCTGCAGCATCTTGATTCGGCGCTTAGACTTATTGACAAAGCGATCCAACGTTTCACTCTGCGAGGTGGGCTCTCTCATGTTCGTTCGTATCGTTGGCAGAGGTGTCTGCGGAGCTGAGCCATGGGCTTGTGTATCGGATTTGTAACGACGAGATGGAGCGGGCTCCTCGGCGTCGGAGTCTTCCTCGCGGATCTTGTGTCCCTCGCCCAACTCCTTCACATCGACGGTGGCGACGAGCTCGCTAATAACGATGCTGATCCACGTTGGCCTTGCGAAGTTGGGTCGGTGGAAGTTGAGGCCGAGACCTCGTATCTCAATTTTGAGACCATCGCGGGGTGTGTACGCGAGACGTCGTAGGGAGAAGTAGCCGATACGTTGGATAGAAAGACCGGTAAGGATGCGTAGTATAGCAAAGAGAACGAAGGAGGACAGGTATATTAGCACCAAAATGGCCAAAAAGAAAGTAGGGTTGAAGAGGGCCATTGCTTCAAGGTCTCCCGCCGATAGCAGGGCCCGTCTGCGATCCGTTGTCTGTTGCTTGATAGCTGCCCTGTGGGTTGGCGGAACTTCCGACGATCCTCGACAGGAACAAAATGATATCGCATACGGGGCGGAGCATAAGACCGGATTTACTCGTCGGCCGACAAAACGATCAGATCGCTAAGCTCCATTTTCGGGGAGATGATGTGGCTAGATCGGCGAGCGCCCAAGAGGCAAGGCGAAAAAGGTGTCCGGGTGAGATCAGCGACGACTGAATAATCGTAACGTGAGATCGGGAATTACGAAGAAGATCGCGGACGAAAGATCGTGCTGTCGGCCGGGATACCGCGAGGGAAACGGCGATTTTGGGACTGTCGCAAGAAAAAGCAATGCTATCACGCACTGCTCGTCTCAACGTAAGGACAATCAGTATGGTCCCAGTGGAACAGGTCGTCAAGGAGCCGGATATTCGGGATCGATCTCCCCGAGGAGAGGCGCGGAGATAGAGGTCGGGAAGGGGGTCGGTCCGTTAGGGGTGTCGAGTAATCGGCGTTGACAAGAGAGAGCCTAGTGCTGTTTTCGAGAGGGAGTTGGCATTTGCCAACATAGCACGGCTGGCCCGGATCGTCTAAGGGAGTGGCAATCTGCCCAAAAAGCCGGACATAGGGACGGCGTAGAATTAAACTTACGCCGACTCACGAGGCAAGTGAAAAAAGAATCAGGGACCCGGTTCCTGACTTTGTTGAGTTTAGGGCGGGGAGCTCGAGAGACCAGCACGCAGTGCTCCAGTTACACTCCAGTGATACTTCGTACTTCGTACTCAGATAGAAGCAGCGACAATGAAGCAAGGAACTGGAACCTTGTCTTCGGTTACTTCCGGGTTCGAATAATTGTTCCAGAGTGTCAGGGGGTTGGCTGGCTTGTTACCAACTGGTGTCAGCCGGTTAAGTTCCACGATCGTGCGGCTCAACTCCCTCGATGCCCCTTTGTTGACCTCTGGTTGAACAGGCATCAATTCACCTGCCTCATTTGCCTCAGGGTGCAGAGTAATTGACAGTTCATCCTGCTTTCTGGAGGCTCCAGAATGGTGTGATGCCCCCATCCATGACCCCTGCTATCCAAGCATGCCATCGAACGTTTCCTTGCAGACCGCTATCTAAGACTAGTAACACTGACAAAACATTTTGATCCACGAGTTCGTGCAACTCCAAAATTGTACAGATTCTATTGTAACAAGTTCCAAATGGAAGGTGTCTATGATACAGATTAAATAAAAAAAGAACCACCGTGTATTCCCGGTTCCTCTTTCGAATCAGTTGAAAAGTCTTTGGATTCCAGATGCCGGTTACCGCCACCAGCTCTTCGCCTGTGAGTTTTGGTTCAGAGTCTTCGGGGATACGTCCTCTTTGGAGGCTTCCGGGGATGATGGCGTGGCATTGAGGACGCCCTCAGCCTCTATCTTAGCCTGGGCCTCCGCTTTCAGTTCAGAAATCTTGTCATCGATTAAGGCAATCTCGGCCTCGATCTTGAGCATCTTTTCCCCAATGAACGATTCGTATTCCTCGTCCGTGAGCTTTCTGAGAGGGCTGTACTTGGATCTCAACCAGCTCGAGCCCTCCTCTCCTCTCTGGGCCACCTTCCATTCGGATAGCTTATTTGCAATGCCCTGTCCTGCCGCGCCGAATAGGGTGAAGACTATAGCTCCAGGCACGATATTTCGCGGACCACCTAGAAGGGAAAATCGGTGAGTAAGTGAAATAATGCAACGGCCCAACAACACCGTCCCTAGGTAGCGGTAGCATACGTAATAGTCCACCGACCATGCCAGCGGTTCCGCCCGCCAATGCGCTGGCTTTCGTCTTGTCCGTCGTGCTCAGCGGCTGGCCACCTCCCCAAGATCGAGTGATGATAGACCTTGAGACTGGAAAAAAGTTAGGTTTTCCGCACATTGTTCCGGCATTTCAAGGAGTGACGTACGCCAGTAGGTTGAACCTAAGGTGAACCATTGTATGCTAGAAACCAGTCCGAACAAGACTGGAGGTGCATCCCGGATAATACCAGCGGCCACTCCAGTCACCGCGCCCGCACCGCCTGGAAGACAGTATCAGCTGATATGTATCATCACCATGGCTGGATTGTGCTAGCATGAGAGAATGCGCCAGACTTAGAGAAACGGACCAGCTAGGGCTCCAACCTTCAAGGCTGGTGTGAGTAAGTCCACAAGTTCAGGAGGGAGGAGGCCACGTCTCCGACCTCTCCGAGGCCCGACGTCTTGAGGGTCGAGATCTTGCGGCTCGCCCCCCATTGTCGGAAATTGAGACAAAACGCCGCTCGTATCAACAGATTTTGTCAATGGATGGGGACAGAGGGGGAAAGGCTTATTATAAGCCGCACCAGCCCGTCAATTAAGGATTTTAAGCTTTAGAAGCCGTCGGCGAACAGAAGCGCTGAGAAGGATGGGAGAGTAGTACAACAGACGAGATGAAGCAAATTGCGGGGTATGGCGCTTGGGACTCGTTATCACAGTTGGTGAGAAGTATTCCTCAAGGAAGCAGCATGGAATTGAGTGGCAGCTGAGAGGAGAGTCGGCTCATTCGATGCTCAATTCTTTGATGGATGGATGGTGCCAAGCCTGGACGGAGCTAACCCTGATTTGCGCTTCTTCGATGTCCGAAAGAATTTATGACAAGCGCGTCTGTCTTGGGAAGCTCAAAGTTGTACCTAGGTACCTTCTCTCAAATGCCGCTCCTGTCTCGGAGACAGTACTTGGTACTTCGTACTTCATATGTAATCAGACTTGGGTTCAAGTACTTTGCTACCTTAGGTACACAACAATGATGTTTGTACAACTATGAAGTACACAGCCAGCTAGCTTCTGAGGAATACTCATTTCCACTGACGGAAGGGGAACCTGCTGGCCTCTGATGAACTGGTCCGTGCTAATGTACCAGAGCCTCCACTGTCTGACACAACCCACCTGCAATGGTGGAGCAAATCTGATGTGGGTAAAGCAGCACACACCTTGACCTTGGGGTTAACTTGCAAGTACCAAAGTTCCTCACTGTCCTCAAATTCAAATTGTTTCACCAAACGGCCTGCCTTGGTCGTGTACCTAGGTACTATGCCACTTGCCCCAGTTTGTTACTTGGAGGGGTGAAAAAAGTACCTTTTGCACTACAGAACAATGCAAGAGTACATTACTCCAGCTGAAGCACTGTCAAGGCACACTGACACAGTAATCCCAATCCCAACCTGGCCTGGCCTTGCCCACCCACCTTGGGCCACCACCCACCCTGACCCAGGCAAATGTGGCACTCACAAGTCACAACCAAATTTTTTTCCCCTTTCTACCTACAAGGAAATTCAAAAACTCTCATCAACCTCAACCTCTCCACATTCCAACAAGGAACGGAACCGGAGAGTCGAGGCATAGCCCATCACTCTGTTCTCGGCTTTGGCTCAATATTCAGGAACCAATTTCCATCTAACCACCACCAAACCTCTCAACGGCAGTGCACTATTCAGTGAACTGCCACCTCTTCTTTTTTTTTTATCCCACCCCAATCCCGCACACCAAGCGATTCCTTCTAGAAGCTAGCCACCAATCCCTGGTTCAGCTTCTTTTGACCTAATCTACGCGCACCGATAGGAACGTCGTTGCGCGTGGAGGACTTAACACCGCAATCATGGGTAAGCTACCTTGACAGGCCATGCCTAACTATCTCGTATAGCTTCATCATTTCTAACAACCTGTCTTCGCAGCGCCCAAAAAGAAGGAGGCCCAGAAGATGTCTCTGGGTGACTTCCTCAACGATTCATGTAAGGACCTCCCCACTAACCAAGATGGATGGCGCGACTCTGTTTGGGCTAGGTGTTCGACCGGTTCTTCGAGTCGACCCGTCGAGCATCCGGCGCCCGCCGCTATCCGAGTTGTGTCAGCGTATCTTTAGCTAACATCCATCCAGCGTTCGGTGGCTCCTGGGCCGATGAAGTTGAGGATACCATTGGTAAGTACTCTTTCCCCTGTCCTAAACCTTCTGGCGAGGCATGGCGGCATTCTGTGGGCGTAAGCCTGATCGTATCGGTTGCCATTCTTCCGTGATTCGCCTCATCGCAGCTGAGAACTTCCGCTAATGGCTCTTAAACAGGCACTCAGCCATTGCCTCCTCCCGAGCATCCGCGTCGCGATATGGGCATGGGTGGATACGGCGGCTACGGAGGAGATCGAGGAGACCGAGGTTAGTATTGAAATGAACCCTTTTGCCACTACCCCGTCGACTCGTTGTCGTTGACAATTTTCGTTGTTCACAGGATATGCTCGCGATAGTGCCCCTCAGCAGCTCCCCACCCGGCCCCCTTACACTGCTCATCTTGGCAACCTCCCATACGATGCGACTATGGATGCCGTTACCGACTTCTTCACCGGATGCGGTGTCGTTAGCGTTAGAATCATCGAGGACCGAGAGCTCCAGCGCCCCAAAGGTTTCGCTTATGTTGAATTCCGCGATTTGGACGGTTTGAAGAAGGCTCTTGAGCTCGATGGACAGTCTTTCAATGGACGATATATCAAGGTTAAGGTTGCCGAGCCTCGTAAGTCTTAGTTTCCATTCCTTGTTTTTTTCTCTTTTTTTTTCCTTCTTAAGTTGCGGGAACTTCATAGTCTAATGGATGCCACAGCCCGAGACCGCGACCGTGGTGGCGATTCGACCCGCGACTTGAGCGACTGGACCAGGAAGGGCCCTCTTGCGGATCTTCCCTCTCGAGGAGGCGATAGGCGTGACTTTGGCGAGCGCCGCCAGGCCGATTTCGGCGAGCGACGCGCTCCTCGGGAGCACGTAGATGACGGAAGGGTCCGAGACTTCGGAAACTGGGAGCGCAAAGGACCTTTGTCACCCCTGCCTCAACCTGAGGCGCCTCCCATGTCTCGCGAGGGCAGCCGAGCAAGGGGCAATGTAGAGTCGATGCGTCATCGTCATCAGTCCCCTTCTTGGGGTGAAGGCCGACAGGAGGGATCTCGCCCTCCTCACCGAGAATTCCGTGAGAAGGCTGAACGGGTCCCCAGCGCTGCGGAACGTGATATGCAATGGCGCAGCAGCATGCGTCCTGACCGCCAAACTTCGTCTCCTTCACAATCCCGAGATGGCAGCGAGGCGCCAGTCTCTCCCGCCCAAGCACCGGCCGCTCTTGCTACAAGACCCAGACTGAATCTAGCGAAGCGAACGATTTCCGATGCACCCGACGCCGCGTCTCCTGCTTCTGCCGGTGGCGATTCGAAGGCGAGTCCTTTCGGTGCCGCCCGACCCATCGATACCTCTGCTCGCGAGCGCGAGATTGAGGAGAAGAGGCAGCAGGCGATTAAGGAGAAACGAGAGGCTGACGAGAAGGCCAAGGAAGAGCGCCGCCTCGCAAAGGAGGCCGCCGCGAAGGAGGCTGCTGCCAAGGCCGAGGCCGAAGCCGAGGCTGCTAAGGCTGCTGCTGAGGCTGCTGCCTCTGCGCCGACGGAGGAGGCGAAGCCTGAGGCAACTCCCCAGGCTGCCGAAGAGGAGGAGACCACCCAGGGAGTTAAATCCGACGATCAAGGACAGAAGCCGGTCCACAATGGCGCCTCCAAGGAGCAAAGGATCCCAGGTCGCCCTAGGGAGCCTCGTGAGCCTCGCGAACCCCGCGAGCCAAGGGACGGCCGCCCTGAGTTTAAGTCTAGGGCTTCGGAGAGCGGCAACTGGCGTCAGCCTTCCGGTGAGCATAGAGCTCCCCGAGGTGCTCCCAGCGGCCCCCGCCGCGGCGGTGGTGGCCGTGGGGGACGACATGACGGTGCCCGTGGTCCACGCGCGAACGGCGCAGGTGGTCAACAGCCTCCCGCGACCCCCGTGACTGCTGAACCGGCTGCCCCTACGCAGGATGAGGATGGCTGGACTACCGTGACCGTTCCTCGAAGCGGTCGCCGTGGAAGGGCTTAGACCCTGATCCATGGCATATATCACTCGTCTCCACACGCACCCTAAATTCTTGTTGCGAGGAACGATTACGCAGTCGTGTCATGTAACCACGCCATCTTGCGTACACTCGATTTCCCCCGCCTCTAGTGAAAGGTCGCGAACTAATCCCTCTCCCGCTACGACGAGTGCTCGAAATCGCCTAAAAACCGCCCTATTTTAATCCCCGCTGATCCCAGTCATTATTTCGTTCTATCAACGGGGCCCTCGATTCGAAGGAAGACAGATAGGCCTGCAACGCCAGCAGAAGACCTGCGGCTGTCTCCACTTCGAGGTACCTGGATCTGGAAGGTCCCACATAGTTTCTCTGTTCGCAGACATGTTAGGCAGTTGGAGGAAATGGCCTCGCAATGGAATGAATGTATACGACTCTTTATAGTGCCAGGTGTGTGTAGCAGGGGCGGATTTGCGGCGAAGAACAAAAGCAAGAGGGAGTAAAAATGGAGAAAGGATTCTCTTGATGTCAGCGAGGCTGGCAAGGTGTAACATTTGGTAGTTTTTTTACCACTTCTTTTTCACGTTTACTCATCTCTCTCTCTCTCTTCGGTTCCACGTCGTTGGTTTTTATGTCTCTGTTCCATCTCATCTCCCCGTCTTTCTCTTAGTGTTCTCTCCCCCCTTCCCCTCCCTCTCTCCCATCACCTCAGTTTCGACGGTTCTCTGCTCTGTTTACGGCGAAGAAAAAAAAACTCTGGGGGTGCGATCTGGTTACTTGTATGTTTGTGTTTTCGGTATAAAGGCTTCATTTCATGCTTCATGAATACGACTGACTTTGCTTCCCTTTTGTTTTCTTATAATGCAAAAACGAAGAAGAAAAGAAGGGAAAAGAGAGATAAGAGAGGGAAGGTTTGGTCATCGGTCAAATCGAAAGCAGCCGGTTTGAGGAAACCTTGATCCTTGACTTTCTCGCTTTTCGCGTTTCGTCGGACCGAACTTTCTCGAACACTCCCCCAGGCAGCTCTAGGGACGGAAAGAGAGTAAGTGGGGAAAAAACCTATGTATATGGCTTGGAAGAGAGTGAAGAACTGAGTCTGATTTGGAGATTGCCGTTTGACAATCCCCGGGAACATCACCGCTAGAAGAATGGGAAGAGGTCCTAGGGCATTGTTTCCCGGAGTCTGGCTTTTTGTATGTTTGATTTTGAGCTGAGTGGGATGGGATCAGTAGGAATAAAGGAGCTTTTCACAGAACTACCGTTTTGTTTTCCCGGTCGAATGAGCTGGACATAGACTCTAGGCGGGACGAAGTCGAACATTTTTCAAATAGTCAGAAGATGATACCTGGCAGGTATCAATATTATTCTTGTATTCCGCGACCATGAGGCTATATCCCATAAAAAAGAAGAAATGCCGGTACACATATCCCATGGCTACCATTTCCGAGCGAGCGCTCGTTATTTCCCAAAAACTCCGGAAAGAAGAAGAAAAAGCACACGCTATCTTACAACAGAAACATAAAAAGACCCCCTCAAGACCTCTTCTGCCCCAACTCCTCGTCATCCTCCCACCCATCCTCATCATCCCCCGCGATCCTCCTCCCAACCCAAATAGCCCCAGCTGTAAGGCCGCACCCAACAAGGAACCACCCCTGAAACCACGCCTCAACAACAGCTGGCTCGAGCGAAGACCTCAGGGCATCTCCCACGGCGCTGCGCATGCCGCTGGGCAAATTACTCCTCAGCAGGAGCGCGGAGGAGAAGACGTACGTGGCGAGGGTCTGGGCGAGTAGGAGAGGTAAGTTGGCCTGTGCGAGGCGGAGGATGGAAGGGGCGAAGCGGGATAGGAGGGTGAGGGTTTGGAGGACGGAGGAGAGGGAGAGGAGGAGGATTATGCCGGAGAGGAGGAAGGAGATTTGGCGGGCTAGGGCGTCTTGGTCGAGGGTGGGGTCGTAGTGGGTTGAGAGGAGGGAGAGGGTGCGGGTTATAGGGTCGGCGGTCGTGATGTTTTGTGAGGAAGAAGGGGAGGAGACGAGGCGGTGAAGGAAGGCGAGAAGGGTTGTGAGGATGCGGAAGATGCAGTAGACGCTAAAGACGTAGTTTGGTACGGCGAGGAGGCGTCCTGTAAGGCTGGCGGCACGGGCTTTGGCGGCTTTTCGCGCGCGCATGGATGCGAGGCCGGCTTCGAGGGTAGCTTGCATCGTCGCGAGCCCTGAAATCTCGAGTCGAAGGGAGCGGATCTCCGCTTGGTCGGCCGACATGCCGCGGAAAGAACTAAACATCTTGCCGACGAGCCCTACGGACGGCGCCGCGGAGCTGGACTCGACGGCTTTGCGCTCGAGCATCTGGAGGCGGTGGCGCTTGGACATGAGCATCTCGGCAGCGGCTTCCAGCCCTGATTCCTTCCGGGCGATTTCGACGTCGGAGACACCGCGGCGCGTGGGCGACCCGAATGCGTGCCAAGGCGCAGAGACGGCAGCGAAGCCCGACAACAGAGCCATAAGAAACACTCCAGCAATTCCAATGCGGTCGAGCGACGCCCTCATGAGACTCCCACTACCCTCCGCTCCATCGAGATCCACATGACGAACAGCACCGCCCATAGACCAAAACGAAAACAACCACGCCCCAAAAAGCGAAAGCTGCAACATCCACGTAAACCGCGAAGCCCTCCCCCTCGCATCCCTCGCAAACGACCTTCCGCTCCCCACAACAAGACTCATGACCACAAGCCACGGTATCACAAGCACCAGACAAACCGCCAAGCTCGGCACGACGAACCCCAGCGCGAAGCTCCGCGCCCGCGGATGGAACAGCTCTGCCACCTCGCTGACGATCAACACGCCCAGAACGAAGGTCAACCCCACAGTCGCGGAAAAAGCTAGCGCCGCTGCCTTGCGCCGCGGGGTCTGGCGCGCATAGTCTGAGTGGGCGGCTCGGAGGGCTGCGGGGGCATGGGTCGGTAGGACGTGGTCGTCGCCGTCGTGGGTAGATGGGACGACGGCCGAGAGGGCCGGGAGGATGCGGCGGTGGGCGATGGTCGAGGTTAGGAGGAAGACGGCGAGGAAGGGGATGAGGGATGTTAGGGGCGGCGGTGGGGGTTTCGCGTCGCAGGAGACGGCTTCGGTGTGGGAGGCGCAGGAGGAGAAGAGCGAGAAGGGGAACATGATGATCGGTGGGTTCGTTTGAGGATTCGAATTGGCCTATCGCAAGACAAGGAGAAAAGGGAAACCAGAATAGTTCAGTCGTGAGATGGTGGATGGGCTAGATTGATTGGCATTATTATCCAGTCCTTATCGTCAAGATAAGGTCGGCTGGCGAAGCGAGCAAAGTCGTAGTGTCGTCGATGGGGAAGTGCCGTAAATTGATCCTGATCCTGTCTGTCTGAGAATGGTTGTTTTAAAACAGAAATAAATCCACGACATCCATCGCACGCAGGCAATGGAATATCAACCCATCGGTCGCAAAGTCGCTTCCTGGATTAGTTTTACGTGGCACGCGAAACAGGAAACGTGATCAAAGAATGTGAAGATTATGTTTAGCGTGCAAAGTACGAAGTTACTGCGTAGGATCGTCGTCGACAAAAGCTTGTGATGACGAGTTTGACTGGGATCATTCGTCGATTCCGTCCCTGACAATGATCTGCCCCCAACATTTCCCAATCACACCGTGTTTCACCGTTTCGGGAGTTAGGAACGGATCATTACGTGCCCTGCCATTGGCCACTGTGCCTCGGGGCGGCTCCAAGTTTCCAACAGAATGAAAATAGTCAGGGCGCCAGCACGGTGATGCACTGGATTCCGTCGTTCCTTCAGGGGCAAGACTCCCTGGCACGGCTGGAAACCCGAACCATCACGTAAACTACTTGTACTTGAAGTACTTCCCCAGTCCGTGATCCGAGATCTCGAACGTTCGAGGAGCTATTAATGGCTCAATTCATCCACCACCCCCTTCAACAGTCGCAAGATCCTTGAACCATTCCCGTCCTGCCCTGCACTGCCCTGCCCTGCCCTGCCCTTATCGCCAAGCTACCAAGTACGTACATATGCAAGTAATAATAAGAATGCGCACTTAAATATCAACCCTATAACGTCATAACCAAGCGATCCAACGCCGAATGCCGAACCAAAGCCAGAGTCAAGTCCGACATTGATCCTGCCTTCTAGTTTGCTCGTCGTGTGGTTTTGTTTACGGACTTCTACGCCTTCTACGGACAAGTTGTCTAGCACGACGTATAATGTCCCCTAATGGTGCGACTTCACGCATGGCACTAGCACCAAAGAGACGAGAGAGGAGAAAAAGAATTTTGGGGGAAGCGGAAAGCACACTGCTCTACTTGTAGAAATGGCCTTCTTCCCCAGGTATCATCAAATGTCTTTATGGCAGTTAGCCCGCACCAAAGCGGGTAAGTAACAAGTAGTACTAGAGACGCCAGGTACAACGCTCCCAAGATCCCGTGCAAGAACAAGGAAGAGAGAAGCGTAAAACAAACACACGGAGTTCTTTCCGTGGCGGCCATGGCAACGCGCTTTCATGCCAGAACCTTTGGGTATGTATGTCTCAGGGGACTCACTCGCCCATCAACTTGCGGTTGCCCGCCAGTATCCTCTTCGGCGATAGTCCGGTCTATAGGAAAGTAACAGGCTGCAAATCAAAAACAAAGTCGTTCCGAAGGAAAAACGGAGAGGAGAGTGTGGAAGGGGAAAAAAGAAGGCGTCATAACACCGCTAGGCGTCATCGTCGTCTTCCAGGTCTCCCGTGTTCCGCTTCCTAAGCGCCGCCGCTTCTCCAATCTCCATTTTGTGTAGCTTCTCTTTCTTCGCGGGGTCAGGAAGTTGGGGTGGGCCTGCTGTTAAATCGTCCACATCGTCGTCATCCAAATCGTCATCCTCCTCTCCTGGACTATCAGCACCACTATCGATTTCATGCGACTTGTTCGCGAGTCGGCCTTGAGTACTTTGTAGCGCATCCTCAGAATCGCCGGTGAGCGCAATCGAGGGGCGATTGTAAAGGTGTGGCTTGAGCGCGATGCCTTTAATCGTCGGGTCGAACTCGGCCGGCAGAGCTAGCGCCTTGGCTACCTGGCTCGCCTCATCCGCCGACGACAATTGCGTCGCCGTCGACAACATCACCACATCATCCATTATGTCCGACTCGTGTACGCCGTTGGTCGAGGCTAATATCTGAGCGTAAGAGGCTCGCGTAGGATCCCGCGAGCGTTTGTCCTTCTTCTTCTGGCGGACCTCTTCGGGTCTGACAACGACGACTGGAATAGGGGATCTTTCGAGGCAGTACTTGGAGAAACTGTGTCGGGTGTTCCACATTCCCTGCATGCCTTGGTTGGTTTTACCTTTCGTTCCAACTACAAGCATAGATGGCAGGTGGACGTTGACCTGAGGTAGCTAGTTGTTAGCACAGAATCGACTCCTTGAGATTGAGCATCGTATTGGAAGAAGAGGGGGGCCGGGCCCCAGCCTCAATGAAGCGCCAACCAAATCCCCGCATGCTCTCCAGCCAAGCATACATACCATTGTGTCAAAAGTGTGCCCCAGCCGACCAAACTGGTATTCGAGAATAATGCAGATAGCCTTATCAAGCTTGTTCTTCTTGATTATCGACTGCATCAACTGCTGTGCACGTTGCTTATATGTCGCATTGTGGCTATGTTTAACGTCCTTCTCGATCACGCGAACGCAGACCACCGTGTCGTGGTCGTCTACCATCGATGTCAGGAGCCACTCCAGTGCCTCCTCCGAGTAGCTGTTCTCGTCGACTCCAACCATGAAGGTTTTTGACCGTCGCTCTGCGTGGAACCCATTGTGTCGAGCAGACAAGGTAATGCCCGGATTCTTGGGGATATCTGGATTGATGGTGTCAAAGGCGACATGGGGGTGGAATCTGCCACCGAGGGTGTCAGTACTTGACAGTCCGGAAGTAACCATTCTGCGAGCAGCACCGAAAAGACAGATTGCAAAGTATCAATGCTAGATACTGATCCTGAACGCGCGCACTCGAGTGAGAGGTAGAAAAGGCCGTAGGAAACAGGAAATAAAGATAATAACAGCGGGGCGGGGTTTTGAGGGGTGAGTGAGCTGGTAATGATTCACAATTTTGGCAGGGGTATTAAAGAAGTGACGCACATCAAATCTTGATGTGATGGAAAAGTGACTGGAAGGTTAGGCTCGGCGCAGTGGATCGGGAGAAAAAATGACTAGTAAAATCCAGGAAGGAGGGGAGAAGAAGGCTTGGAAAACAGAAAACTAGAGCGAAATAGAGTGCATCCGCCTAAGCGGCGCCGTCAGGTCCCTTTTAAGAGTCTTGGGTCGCGCTCCGCTGCGGCTGTGTGTGGAGAGAGAAGGTGCACTAGGGACGACTAGGGGATGCAAAAATCAAAGGGACAGTGGCGTGAGACGCCCACCTGACAGGAATTGGGGCGATGGTGGGAAATTAGACAATTGGCAAAGAATACCAAGGGGCAATAGGAATAGGGAATCGAGGCTAGACTTCAGGTTCATAATTGGAGAGCTAGCGAGTCGGGATGCGATCGGTTCGAGTCTCCTTGCGCTTGTGTGGTAACGATGCGACGCGACAAAATAGGGAAAGACCACAACTTGGACGAGGATTATGCGGGGCTAAAATCCCAACTCCCGAGATTTCAGACCCAGTAGACTTAACCCAAGCCATCAAAGCAGCAACGACATGACCAGACCGTCGCAGACGCAACCAGTCATTTCTCACGTGAGGCTCCATGCACCAGAAAACAACCAGAACTGGTCATGTCATAGACGTCGGCAGTGATGCCTGTCAATAAGGGCTGGCTGTGAGGCACTCGGGGCGGAGATGCCGATGAGCCATCAACCAGCAGCAACCCATATCGTTTGACGGCATATGCACGGCGTACTTGGCAGGGACGAAAGAGCCGGAGGAACGGAGGGCAGCCAGCAAAAAAACACACTCGGGCATAATGAAGAATAGTGTTCGAAGGAAATGAAACCTGACAAAAAAACACAGATACAATTGACAGTCCAAAGGCCACGCAGTCCCCCGCAATAAACATAATGCGCTGGAACGACAATGTGCACGATGTGAACAACCGACAGACAGGCACGCAAGAAATAGACTTACTTTGAGTGTGGTGGGCTAGCATTGCGGATTCTGCTTCCCGTGATCCCTCTCGATCTCCCCGTCGGAAGACCAGGGCGCTGCGGCGTCTCAAAGCGCAGGGAACCTGTTGAGCTTCGACGCGGCGCATCAAACGAGTCGGCGAACTTCACCACCGAGCTCCTTCTCTTGTCCAATATAGGCGGCCAGCTTGATGCGCTTCCGTTTGTAGCAAGCTGAGCGGCGTCTTTATCTGCGGGGGCAACGATTTGCTTCGGGTCGGGCTCAGGCTCGAACTCTGGTTTGTGGATCTTGTGCTCTGCTTGGAGAGCCGCTTCTGTCGAGACGTTTTCGGATGGTACGCCAGAGGTTCGCAGGGCCGTTTCGGTTTGAACAGGATCTGTAGTGATGCTATCTGCTGGGTTTGCCATCGACGTTGGGGCGGGACCAGACATCGAACGGATGGAACGGGTTCGCGTCGTGGAAGAAAAAAATAATGGGAGGGTAGAGGACGGGGTGGGTCAAAGTATTTGTCGAAGTATCGATGGATGGTTAAAGGAATTCAGCTGTCGATGAAATTGCGCTCGCTCTATTGCTGCCAATCTCGTCGGCTCCGGTCGCCTCGGATAGAGGCAAAAGGAGAAGGCAAGAAGTGTCAAGGCAAGGCGGGCATGGAGAGGGGAGGTTTTTGAGCTTGACCTGGCCTCTAAGAAGGCTAGGGCCCGAGGGAAGAAAGAAACGGGTACGTCGGCCGAAGAAGGTCAAATGGGCCCACAGCGAAGGCACAGGGAAGGCGCGTCAACGACCCGCGAAGAGTGGGTCGAGATATCGGCGTCCCGTTACAAAAGACCTCCAGATGAGGCCACGGTATCTGCGACAAGGAGAATGGTTCGATAGTTCGATATGTAAGGCGTTATAATATGCAGTGCAGGCGTAGGTCTGACCAAGATTTCGAGCTTCGTGCTGGCAAGGAGATAAAACAAGAAAAATAATAAATAAAAAGTAAGGAAGCGAGCCGGCGGGCCGTGATCAGGAAGAGTCGGGGGATCTAAAGCTGCTCGTGTAATTTAATAAAAATCTCTCTATTGTAATTCTTTGTCGCTTCAAGATGTTTCCTTCCGCAAATGAAATGTTTGAAAAGAAGAACAAGGCAAGAACATGAGTTGTGAAAGGAGGGAGCTTCGGTTTTCGGTGTCAAGAATCGCGCCTTCCTCTCTATCTCGGGCTGGCTGGGCGAGGCGCAACTATCAAGCGGGAACCTCTTTGCAACCCACAACGCCGAAGAAGACCCAGAACTGATGACGGAGCTCGTTACCGTTACGAAGTAGTGTTGTGACCAGTGGTGCTGTTACTTTGTCGCTGTACTGAGGCGCACCCACCCCCCAATATAAAGAGATCGATTTGATCTGACACGGGTGGTGTGAAAGTTGGGTACTAAAGCTGGTGGCTAGTAAACTACCTCCCTTGGCAAGCAGCGCCATCGGTGTATGTTATACGGCGCGTCAGGTAGAAATTATAGTTCTAGTGTTTGTACCCGGTACACGATATATCTGCTTTCATCAAACAACCTCTACTTCGCGTGACAAGGGGGCCAAACGGGCCAAACTATGTCCACCTCGTACCCTACCACTTCGCTACCATCCAATAGTGACTAGCACATGCTTGGAACAACTTGTAAAGCTGCAGCAGTGGGGGAGCTACCCCAAGTTGCGACACATTGCACAGGGCAGGTGGGCTGCCTGGTTGTTGAGCTTCAAGTTGCCAGCTCTGTGCTGCCTAGCATCAACGACAGCAAGACGGCCGCACACTGAGCCTTGAGATCCCAAACTGCTCAGTACGGTGGGGAACCATGCATCAGATAACACACGTTTTGGTTTAGCTCCGAAGTGCGAGCCGGCGGCCCCTTGGTTCTTGTCGGCGTTATTAGTCACCCCGCCACAGACTTCGGAACTGAACACTTTGACTGCGCTTGTGATCAACTTGATTTGATCCCAGCACAGAGCCAGCAACCAGGGTCGTTTAAGCCTTCTGAAGCTACCAGCGGACCTTCCTAACCATCAAAGAGTTCAGGCACTCTCGCGGGCACTCTCTTCTAAACATCGACTCCTGTTCCCCCGAGAAAAACCCTCACTGACCTAACATCACTCTCGCGATGTTTCAGAGCCCCAGACCCAGTACATGACACCGACATGCAAAGACAAATCTTCCGGGAGGCCGCCAACGCAACATCAAGAGGGCAGGCCACTCTCTGGCCGTGCCCCCCAGCACTAGAAACACAAAATGACCGGTCTCTATCGCATCCCGTTCGTCAACTCCAATCATAAACACCGCCAAGACGTAGCCAAGACTTTCCTCGAGGGGCTCTGATGGGGGAATCGGCGGGGAGGGGAGGGGCCTCTAGCCAAGCTTGACTGTCAATCTACCAAGTATTATGACTGATTCTTTTTACAGGCTGGAAAACGACGTTCCTCATGCATTGGAGCAGTAATACAGATGCAATACAGCATAGGAACACCTTATGCTGGGGCCCAAGCTCCTCGCGTTCTGCAAGGGAATCAACAGGATCCAATCCCAGAGAGCATCGACAGCCCAGCTGCGTATAGCAGCTAGCTTATTGGACGAACCTCCGATCAGCAGGCGAACGAGCACTGAACGTAAAAAGCAAGAAAAGAGAAAACATCCTCGGGATGAAATAAAGCACATGCTTTTTACGCCATGGCGATTTTCGTAGTTGATATCTTCACCGCCACCACTTTCATCATTGCGGCTTGGCTTTCCCAAGATTCAATCCCACAGTCAATATTAGCTTCACTGTTGTGTCCTTGACTCCTCCATCAGCAGCCCGTTTGGTAGCCATGCATTGGCGATCATTTGGGACTTCTCCCCATTTGTAGCTAGCTTCTAAATATTTTTTTTGTGGGAGGGGAAAAAAAGAAAAGAAAAGAAAACCCGCGAAGACAGAAAATTTTTAAGGAATGCAACAACGAAGTGCGGCTCTTGGTCGTCGCCCGCGGTTCAATCCACACCTCTTCCAGTTCCGACGACGCATGGTATCGCAGCCGAGCCGAGAGCCAAGCCGGGGATGGCAAGTCCACGATAAGGCAACGCTGCCAAGCTTTCTCTTTCCTTGCCTCTGGCCACGAGCAATCTTTCTCTAAGCGGCGATATACACAGAACGCGGGTGGTTGGGATAAACGAGATGTGACCGCCCTGTCCGTTGCAACGGGAAGGGTGTTAAAGACTTCCTGGCCACTCGCCGCCCTCCGTGACCGCACCCCAAGCGTCCAATTTGCCCAGAAATCTCACAACATCCGTAGCGTTTGTTTTTCCTTACCCTGTCGGCAGGTCGGGTTACTACTTTACTCCGTGCTACATGCGGCAGCAGTAACTGCAATATGATGAGTCGTAAAGAGCGCCGTAGTCGGGATCATGGGTAGGCAGGAGACGCGCATACCCGACCCTTTTTGACCCTCCCCGCTGTGCTATCACACCTCCGATTTTTGCTCACCCTTGCCCCGGGGCCATAGGGCCGGCCAAGCTCGGTTGCTTTCGTCACCTGTTTCCACATGGACCATTCTTGGCATGCAATCATTGCTTACGCCGAGTCTGCCCTCTTCCTCTTATTGGGCCCGGTGACGGTGGCTACGAGGGCAAGTGCCGAAGGTGTGGCATGGGGATGGGGATCGCGCGGGTTCCGGGATCGTCAAGGACAGGTCCTTGAGGACACACGAATACTTCGTATTTCTTCTTTCGTCTTCTTTAGCTCAAAAACATAAAATTAAGTCTTGGCATCGGAATATCCCTCTGACTCCTAGTTGAAGACTTTTCGGAAATCTTCATCGAATCTGTACAAACATCCTCCTCACACGAACAACCTTGGCTGGCTTCAGTTACCCATCATATGCTGACATTGTCCCCACCACAACTGCGTGTGCGCCGAGAGGAAAAAAGATGGGTCTCGCCTCAAGTGCATATCGCGTATTTTTTATTCCATTTCCGGTCCCTCCCCCAATGCAATGGGGGCATAAAGGATCTAAATGACCGAACCAAATCCTGGACTCCGAGACGCCAACTTTATGCTTCATCAGAAAAGGCCGGGACCACACTCATAGCAGCCTCGACATGCTGCTGCTCCCCCTTGCATTCGGTACCAGGTTTACAATCTCATTACGGGTTCTTTCCCCCAAAATGGTCTGTATACTTAGTTGTATGTCCTGGAGAGGTTGCGAAGATACCAGTCTACTAGCTTCCTGCCAACCTTGGCCTCCGAGATGTGGATAAGATCCTATGATCCAGAATTAGCATACGCAGTTCAATTACGGTGGTGACTCTACATGTAGAGTTCCAATAACTTACACCCTGCATGGCGTAGTCGAGGTCGCTGACGTTGACCAAGTCGCCATCCAACAAGCTGTTGTCGTTCCAGCGAAGCTGCTTGGTTCGCTGCTTGTTGACAAGGAGCCAGGATCGAAGCTCGTCGGGCTTAACCTCAAGGAAACCGGAGAGCTTGTTTAAGTCCATGGTGGTGTAAAGGCGGAGATAAGACTTGACGGTGGGGCTCCACATGTTGGTCTTGACCTCCTCCATGAAGATGGCCAAGTGGTGCTCGATGGGGTCAATGTTGGACTCCGGCTTGTCGAAATCCGGAGGAACGGGGGAGATGAACTTGGGGCAAGCAGCCTTGAAGAGCTCCTCGAAGATGGGGAGGGACTCGGGACCTCCACGCTGAAGCTTGAGAAGCTGATCACCGTACTTCTCGCGGAGAGCGGTGTGGATGGTGTCGTCGAGACGAGTGGGGTGGAAGGCGACGCAGATGGCGATGAGAGCGTACATCTGCTCGTTCTTCTTGGTGATGCTATCATACTGAGCATTCTTGTGGAAGTTCTTGGTTCGAGACACATAGATGAGAATGTGGCTGAACATGCGGATGGCATCGGCATAGCGACGCATCATCATGTAAGAAAAACCAACGTAGTAGTACGTTGTGAAGTGAGCGGCCATGACCCTGGCGAACATGGCCTTCTTGTTGAGCTCGATATCGTCCAGGGTCTTGAGGGCAAGACCGAAATCTCCGAGCAGACAGTGGACTCGGAGAAGGCCGATAATGGAGAAATAACCCAGCATCTTATACATGTTCTTGGAGCCATACTCTCCAGCGAACTGGGCGGGGTCCTCGTTTCGCTTCATCGCCGCGAGCTGCTCGGTGATCTGGGATCGTTGGATGAGGGAGTAGAGGACGTTGAGGACGCTGTAGCAGCCCCAAGTGTTGGGGTTGTCGCGGAGGAGTTGGATTTCCTCTTCGTTCGAAGACGAGGACGAGGCTTGCCTAGCGATTCGCATACGATAGGAGGAGAAGGAGTTGAACTGGTAGATGAACTCGTCGATGACGTCCCACGCCCAGTAGTACTATGCCCCCTTAAATGTTAGCTCCGTACGTCCGGTGTGCAATTGGGCTCTTTCCCATATCCGATTTCCGTCATATCCACGGGTGAGGTATCGTAACTAACCGAGGGGGGCTCGAGGTCAACGGGACCCTCGGAGTTGAGGATGAAGTGGAAAAGACTGCAGTACGCATCGTAGCTCTGAAACTTTACGTCGAGAGTCGCGGAGTAGTCGAGGGGCTGGGCGGCGGCGGCAAGGCGAGCTTGGATATCATCAGGCTGCTGGGCCATGCCAACAGAGCTCTGGTCAATATCGTCGAGACCATCCTCATATTGTTGTTGCTGTTCCTTGTACTCGGCAACAAGGACCTCCTCCTCAACGTCGCTGTCGTCGTCGCGAGCGCGGGGCGCTCCGTTCTGGAAGGAACTCATGATCGTGGCCGTAGGGGGAGGGGTAAAGGAGACTCGATGTTCCTAACCAAATAGGACGTATATCGATGGAAATCAAGGATTCGCGAAGCAAAACTCGTCTAGGCTCAGAGGGCTGGACGGGTTCTTCGTGGGTGATGCGTTGGGCGGGGTGGATTTTTGGGTGAATATTTTTTTTCTTTCCTACAATTGTGGGCTCCAGTCGGGTTCAGATGTCATCGATAGCCCGGTTGTTGCGCTTTGATGCATGTTATGCAAATAATCCGGATTTATCTTAATTTCGGGAGTGGCGGGGTATCTTTTCAAGAGAGGAGGGGAGCTTCTTGTTCTCAAGACCAGCTACAATTGTAGGCCAAGCTTCTAAAACCTTTCCGTCGCAGTAGTCAGCGTAGAATAAATTGCCTTCGTATGAGCCTTCAGCAGCAGATCTAGGTGGCGAATTCCCTCCAGCAACATTCCCGTTCCTGCGTGATGCCTAGCCCTATGATCCGATGCCTCGATGGTGGGGGGCGAGTCCAAGTGTTTGCGATTGTGGCTTTGTCAACCAAGATTTTTATGGCGGGGTATTTCGCTTCATTGATTGTTCTTACCGAGTGACTCTTCATAGAAGTCTTGATCTGTAAGCCTCTGTTTGGGCTCCGGACTTCTTCAAAGTAACTATTTTATACCCTTTCTCATTTCCGTACTGTTGTTTAGAGAGCCTGTCTTTTACCATTGTGCTCTGCTTTTTTTCCCTTTCGCATTCACGTCAAAATGCCAATCGTTTCGCAAGAGAAGCTGGCAAGCCTGCAAAATAGTGCAGATGATGTCAGAAATGTGAGTTCCTCCAGACGACACCTCTTCCAACTTCATACTAAGTGAGCTTCGATATAGATCTGTATCTTGGCCCATGTTGACCATGGCAAGACGTCCTTAACGGACGCTCTCCTGGCCACAAATGGCATCATTTCTCCCAAACTAGCCGGCAAGATCAGGTACCTCGACTCGAGACCAGACGAGCAACTACGAGGCATTACTATGGAGTCTTCGGCCATCTCCCTCTATTTTTCTATGCTCAAGAGGACGAGTCCGGACGCGAAACCCATACCAAAAGAGTATTTGGTAAATCTTATTGACTCTCCCGGCCATATCGATTTCAGCAGTGAGGTCTCCACTGCATCCCGGTTATGTGATGGGGCCATCGTCTTAGTGGACGCTGTCGAGGGCGTATGCAGTCAAACAGTTACCGTGCTTAGACAAGTATGGATCGAGAAGCTTAAGCCTCTCCTTGTCATTAACAAGATGGATCGTTTGATTACGGAGCTTCAAATGACGCCAGACGAGGCATACCAACACCTTAGCCGACTGCTCGAGCAGGTAAACGCCGTTCTCGGTAGCTTCTTCCAGGGAGATCGCATGGAGGAGGACCTGAATTGGCGAGAGACTATGGAGAGGCGTGTTGCTGCTAAGGGTGCTCAAACTGCGACAGAACAAAGTGATCCACTCGCAGGCCAATATCAAGAGGCCGATGATGAGGACCTCTACTTTGCCCCAGAAAAGAACAATGTCATTTTCGGCAGCGCTATAGACGGCTGGGCGTTTACCGTCCGCCAATTCTCGGGCATGTATGAAAAGAAGCTCGGTATCAACCGTGCAAACTTGGAGAAGGTTCTTTGGGGAAACTTTTATCTTGACCCGAAGACGAAGAAGCTGCTCAGCCCCAAACACCTCAAGGGGAGAGCGCTGAAGCCACTCTTTGTCCAGTTGGTTCTAGAACCCATCTGGACGGTGTACAAAGCAACGACGGGAGGACCCAACGGTAAGAGCGATCCCGAGTTGCTAGAGAAGGTCACCAAGACTCTCAACATTACGGTTGCGCCTCATGTCCTCCGCTCAAGGGACCCTCGTCTTCTCCTAACTACCGTCTTCGCCGCTTGGCTGCCCCTCTCGACTGCTCTTCTCGTCTCTGTTGTCGAGTCTTTGCCGTCCCCAAATGCGGCTCAAGCCGAAAGAGTTCCCGACCTCTTGGATGATTCCCCAGGAGGCGCCAAGATAAACCCGGCCGTACGCGAAGCCATGATCAAGTTCAAGAAGGCGAAATCAGACCCCGTTGTCGCATATGTTAGCAAGATGGTGTCTGTTCCCGAAAGCGAACTCCCACAGAATAAACGCCGACCAGGACAGATGAGCAGCGAGGAGGCGAGAGAGTTGGCTCGTAAAAAGCGGGTTGAAGCAGCAAGGGCACTCGCTGCGTCTACCGAGACAGAGAATGATCTTACGCAAGCACTAGACTCGTTGAATATTCATACTACACCCGAGGAGGTTACTGAAGAGCTCAAACTTGATCGGGAACACCTTATCGGTTTTGCAAGGATCTACTCTGGCACTCTATCCATCGGGGACGAGCTGTATGTGGTTCCGCCAAAATGGTCTCCGGCGGATGAAAACGCCGAAGAGTTACAGAAAGTTACCGTCACCAACCTATACATGTTTATGGGTCGTAACCTCGAGGCCCTCGACACGGTGCCTGCTGGTGTCGTCTTCGGAATTGGTGGTCTCGAGGGACGCGTCCTCAAGTCCGGAACATTGTGCAGCGTGGCTGAGGGCGCCGTCAACCTCGCTGGCGTAAACCTTGCCGGCAAGCCCATCGTCCGAGTCGCACTTGAACCAGAAAACCCGGCAGATCTCGACAAGATGATCGACGGTCTCCACCTTCTGGTGCAGAGCGACCCATGCGCGGAATACGAACAGTTCGAAAGCGGTGAGCATGTCCTACTGACCGCCGGAGAACTGCATCTTGAGCGATGCATCAAGGACCTCCAAGAGAGGTTCGCGCGCTGCGAGATCCAAGTCGGTGCGCCCATCGTGCCCTACAGGGAGACTATTGTGAGAGCCGAGGAGATGCGGCCGCCGGCAAACAAGGAACTTGGTCGTGGTACCGTTGTCACTTCGACAGGCACGAAACAAATAACAATTAAGCTGCATGTACGACCGCTTCCCGTGGGAACGTCCGAATTCCTAGTCAAAAGCGCCTCTACTATTCGTCAGCTCTATTCCCGACTCAAGTCTGATGCAGAGAAAGAGGAGGAGGCCGGTGACGATGAAGGCGTAGACGATGACGGCGAGGTCGTCACTTCCAAGGGACTATCCCTCGATGAGTTCAAACAACAACTGCAAGACACCCTCGAGAAAGAAAAGACGAGAGAACGATCCTGGAAAGGCGTAGTCGAAAACATCTCCGCCTTCGGCCCCCGAAGAACTGGTCCCAACATCCTCATCGACGCCACCAAAGACCACACCCTCACCCACCTCCTCACAACCGCCAATAAGACCCGCGAAGGCGCCGACCACCGCAACCCCTTCAGCGACAAGATCGGTCACGCGTTCCAATTGGCCACGGCCCAAGGCCCTCTCTGCAACGAACCGATGCGCGGCGTAGCCGTCTTCATCGACGACATTTCCGTCACCAGCGCCAACGGGAGCGGCGAAGAAGACCAATCTACAAACATCGGCCGCCTCACGGGCGAAATCATCAAAATGGTCCAAAAGTCCATCTACGCCGGTTTCCTGGACTGGTCCCCCCGCCTCATGCTCGCCATGTACACCGTCGAGATCCAAGCCTCGATGGACGTCCTCGGCCGCGTCAACGACGTGCTCACCCGCCGTCGCGGCCGCGTGGTAAACGAGGCCATGAAGGAAGGAACGCCGTTCTTTACCATCCAGGCCATGATGCCCGCCGCCGAGTCCTTCGGCTTTGCGGACGAGATGCGGAAACGCACGAGTGGCGCCGCGCAGCCGCAGCTTATCTTTGCTGGGTTTGAGATCTTCGACGAGGATCCGTTGTGGCAGCCGTTTACGGAAGATGATCTCGAGGATCTGGGCGAGCTTGCTGATAGGGAGCTTTTGGCGAAGAAGTATATGGATGGGGTGAGGAAGAGGAAGGGTTTACTGGTTGAGGGAAGGAATGTTGCTACGAACGCTGAGAAACAAAAGACTTTGAAACGGTGATTGTGGATGGTACAGGGTTTTACGCTTGTTTCGTGTGTTTTTAAAAAAGCTTTCAATTTTTCTATCTCTTTTTTTTTTTTTTTTTTTACGAGGACGACAAACTAGATGTCTTCTTGTGAGCCTTTCGTGAATTCCTAACCCTCCTTCATCGCTGGGACTTCACGGCACATGACAACTTTGTGCCACGCCGTTTCACCTGGGTATTGAACAAAAGCATAAAAGAAAATAACATCAATAATCCGCTTCTAAAGAACTGGGTACCATACGCCTCCGTCATGTTCAAGGCACGACTTCAGCAGACTCGCTAGCTCTGGAAGACAAGGCAACAGTCTTCCCAAACAACCGATTTTCCGCTCAATGTGCCATAGGCATAGAAACGCACAAGAAAAAAAAAAACGAAACCTCTAGAATGCCTGAGGCGTGTTCTTCAAGCGGATAAATGGATTCCCAGGTCGTCTTTAAGTCTGATATGGAAGCTCGGTCTTCACTTTGAGATCCTCAGTGAACTCCCAGTCACCCTCTACGTCGAAAGGTGCGACGACGTCGTCGGGAACGAGGACACCGTTCTCCTCTCTAACAGCCATCTTCCAACCTTTGGAAGCAAAATAACCAAGAAGGTTCATCATGGCTTTGCGGTAACGTTCGTCCTCACCATCGTAACGCACGAGCTCCTCGAAGCGTGGGGGCCCGTGGTAGGGCGTATCAAGGTAGTTCACGTTGTCCCTCAGCAAAAGAACTCTCCGGTGCTTTTGCCAGTAGTCCATGAAGCCGTCCCGCGAGGGAACGATCTTTCTCTTGAGGGAGAAATCAAGATACTTGTTGAAGGCGACGACGTGTTCCTTGTGAACAACGCGGTCCTTGCCGATGGCTAAGACGATCATGGTTACACAATTATTGTCCTCAGTTGAAGACCACCGGCTCGAGTCCGCTCCGTACTCCCGCCGGAAGTATTGCTTTAGGTAGCGCATATGTGGCTGGGGTTTAGCAGCTGGAGCAGCCCTGATGTATCGGGTCTTCCAGGGGAGGCCAAGCTGAAAGGGAAGTGTGGACGGTCCGGTGTAGGGCCAGTCGAAAATCGGAACGTAAACGTTTTCGATTTCGCCTTCAATTGAGGAAACGAGTGAAAGCGCGGGGTTGGTAACGTCGCTGAGCTTCGTGCCATAGAGGACTTGTAGAGGAACCCTCGGGACCTCTCTAAGAAACGGGTTCGACGGATCAAAGATCAAATAATCCGCGATATGTCGCCAGTCTCTCGGAACAACATCAATGCCTTTCTTTGGCTTTCCAGTGTCGTCCGGCTCAAAGGCGAAGACGACCCACGGCCCCATGTGAAACCTGAGGGCGCCAGGGGCGGTCAAGGCATGAATACAACTATTGATGTTCACAAGACCCCTGTGCATTGAAGACTTCAAGCCAAATACATCAACCATCGCCAACCCATGCCCAAGAAAGGCTCCACCTGTCCCCTTGCTGTTGTTCACATGTGTTGTATTTCCAATGATGGGTTGGCCTCCGTCGCCGTCGCCGGCCAGATCCAGGATATCGGGATGTGAGATCTCGAGCTTGTGACAGTCCTCTATCATTCGGCACCATACTAAATCGGGTGTCGTCTTTGCCGTCGGAAGCACCATTGCGAGGAAGTGCTCGTCAGAAGGTCGGTCGTTGGGACCGAGGGACTTAAACTGGCTGCACACACCTTTGTGAACGCGCCAGTCAGATCTGCGGCAGGTGTCGCCGCAATATCTTGCTTTGCAACTCGCACAGAAGGAGCCTCCCCGGCGCAAACACAAGGTGCAGAGAGAATCCGGAAAAGCTGTCTTTCTGCAGTGTTTTGCATAGAACAGGCTCCCAGTGTGGGAGGTTCCCGTCAGCCAGTTGAGAGGAATATCCATAGTCATCTCTTGATCACCGTCTTGACCTTCGCCGACGATGTCAGGATTACTGGCCCCACCAATGCCATCTCTATCGGCACCATGCCCCGCGGGTTTCTTCGTGGAAAGAGACGTCATGGATTCGATAGGCTGAGCATTAATAGCGCGGCCCTTGGAGGAGTCTGGTTCCGCGAGGCTGCTGTGGTGGTCCTGGGCCTGACGGAGCCGGGAATGCGAACTTGAAACCTGTGACTGGCACTCGGCGGACTGACTCGGCTCATTAAAGGCCTCGGTATCATCGTTCATCTGATTCACTGTGGAAGAGCTTCTGTCGTTCCCGCCTGGTGTGGAAGGACTCGATTCCTGTTTCGGCTGAGTCATGAAACTATCCTCCTCGTCATGGCTCTCCATTGACAATAAATTAGCTTGGGTCTCAGAAAAGGTCAAGGAAAAGAAGTTTTAAAACTTACTGACGCTCCCGTGTTAGGTGAGCCTACATCATCTGTAGAGTCTGCGATGACAATAGAAGGTGTGGCAATGTTGGAGCTGTTGCTCTTGCCCCGGTGAGTCAAAGCAAATTGCTCATAGCCCTGAATAACAGTCACTTCCGTAACATTGGGAGGTTCAGTGACACTGCCAGCCTGACTAGCCACATCGTTATAAACGGGATCACGACCCTGGTTGTTATCTGGTGGGTTAGGAGTCTGAGTGTGCTTGGAGCCTCGGCCGGGCTTCTTCTTGCCCTTGCCCTTATTGTGCTTTGGCTTGGGTTTAGGCATTTTTAAGGAAAATAGATGCCACTGAAAGAATGCAATGGGATCGATGGATGCAATAGGAGGATGATAGGTTTGTGCTTGGAGAGTGAGAGGGAACGCGATGAGAAAGGGCAAGAGGAAAATAAAAGGATTTGTTTTCGTGGAGGAACTGGACAGGAAAGAGGTCACTACCTCCCTCCATCCTTCCTCAGCTTACATTGTGATGGTTTAGAAGTTATGGCAGGAGCCATCAAAATAGTTGAGCCCGCCTGCCACCATCTCCCAGGAAACAAGCAGTGTTTAGTGTAGACTACCAAACAAAGAGCTCACGAGTAATCCAGCACTGGATACGAAATAACACAGAGAATGTTGTCTTGAGGCAGAAGAATATTTTGAAATGTTTAAAGTCGTAGCATTTAAATGCTTGTTTCTGTAGGTTCGTTCTACTTAAATAAACCGAACGCCCGCCACGAGAGTAACGTGAAAGGAAAGGAATCGAGGAATCGGCGCTGAGAAGAAATGATATGCTCCAGCGAGCAATCACCATCGAGCGCTTCTACTCAGTTTTGACAGAAGGATCATCAAACACCTTCACTTTAACATCCGCCGCCAGTAATCCTGCCTTCTCTCTTGTGGCAATCATGCTGCTATCCTTCGCGACCTTCTCTAGCGCCTTGTCCACGCCCGTCCGGCCTGAATACAGGCCTGCTTGAGGCCTCGCACGAATCAGGTTCCTGGTAGCCTCCGAAATCTTAGAGCTGAGATCTAGTATTTGCTTGTTTCCATAGTCTCGGTTTGTCAGGAGTGGGTTGGCGCTCAGCGTTTGGACCCAGTACTTTTGCCATAGGAGGTCAAGAAGATGGCTGTCAAGCGTGCTCTTGAAGTGTGAAATCTCAAGGCTGTAGTACTTGCCCGCATGAGCACCAAACTCGGCGATCTTGGCAAGAGGGACAGCCTGGGTCTCGGACTTGCTTCCAGGAGAAGCATTCCCCGATGCCTTGTGGTTGGGAGGATACGTCCTGAAAGCACCAATCTCTACCTTTCCAGCGTTGATGGTTCGGTCGGGGTCGATAACGACGGCGAGGAACGGATCCGTAAACTGCTGCTGCATCATTTGGGTCTCAACATCGATGCCGCTCAACCAGCATCCGTATCCAGGATGGCTATGATACCATCCCACGACGTTTTCCGTCCTTCCCTGAGCTCTCGAAAGCTCCGTGTATTCGATCAGGTATTCGTTGGCGTCAGACTGCGCATTAACCCGTGTCTCCGTACCCTCGACAGGCAGCCGGAACGCATCAGTGATGACGAACGTGTCACCGGTAATGTAGCCTTGCATACAGCCCATGATCTCAAGAGCGCCTCCGGAGCGAGCGTGCATGACCATCTTGATGAGGGCTACGGCACTTATGCGGACGTGCTTGAAGTAGTTGATATCTTTCGTCCATGGCTTCGCGTTCGTCAGCTCCTTCTCGGCGGCGGGATCGTGGATGTAGAGTGCATCTCGCTTCGGATCTATCAGCTTGACATTGTTGTCAAGCTCTGAAAGAACGAACGGGGTTAGTACGTGGAGATCAACTAGGTCGGGTGAGCCCTCTCCAGTTCCTACCCCATGATTTCAGAGCAATATCCATCGTAGTGGATTTGCTGTTATGATGCGACGATGTAAGCCGTAGGATTAGGTCGGTTTCATTAAAGGAGCTAGCCTGGAAGACTTCTCGAAGACCTGATGTGCTGCTCTGGAGTTTCGAGGTTGCCTATTATTGGGAGCTGGAGCTGGAGCTGGGGAGCTGGTGTTGGTCGTCGTCGTTCGTTGCTTGGCAGTACTCATGTACCTCATTGTATCAACCCCGCCTTCCACTTTGGTGTTAGGGCATTCCTTATCGATAAGACACTAACGGCAACATCTCCTCATTACCACCATGCTTAATTGCATAATAGGCTGTATGAATCAGATTGATCGGGGACCACGGGATGAAGAAGAATCTCAAGATATCTGCCTGCACATTTTCCATCTTGTCTTGGGAACTCTCAGCAATTTGGTCTTTAAATTGTAGGTCAGGTAAAGTGGTAAGGAATCCATTGTATTAAAAATATTTGTTCCTATTTTCGTCCGCCATTTTTCTCTGGGTAACTGTAGAACTCATACAAGGAAACATAACTTCGTAAATCATTAATCGACAACTTCAAGCATAGAATACGACTTGTGGCTAATTGCCTTCTTCACCAAGCTGGCTGGGTCAGTCTTTTCCTGCTCCTTGGTGACCTTGACAGCTCCTCCATCCGCATCGGCAGTCTCCTCCGCGACGATGGTCTCTTCTTCTGCAGGGTCCTCGAAGCCGCCGCCGTCCAGGAACACCTTCAACATACCCTGCGAGTATCCCGACACGAGAGCAGTACCTGGCTCATCAGACGTCACCGGCTTCGGTGCGCCATGTCCACGGCCGCCGGCCAAGTTCCAGAACACAAGCTCTGGCATTTCGTATCCGGCCTCCTTGAACTTTCCCACGACTCGCTCGTATGACGTTGACCACACATGAGGACGGCCCGAGGCATGGTTGAAATGCATGTCACTGAAAACGAAAACCCTCTTAACCATGTCCTCTTGCTTCAAGTTGTTACTCTTGGCCATGGGGAGGATAAGGTCCTCGAAGACGCCAACGAAATTGGTGCTCATACCCCAGTCAGCCCGTGACATGAAGCTAATCTTCTCCGAGAACGTCTGTGACAGGTCGATTTGGCAGACCGACGGTGACTCACTGAAGGTAATGAATGCTCCGTTGAAGGGCGGCTTTGCGACCTCGGCTATCAGGAGAGATAGGCCGATTGCGGAGTGCAACGGAACGGTTTTATCAGCCAACTCAGGGGAAAACATGCTGCCGCTCACGTCGCAGACGGCGATGGATGACTCGAGGCTACCCGAATCCTTGATCCGCTGGACTAGTGCCTTCCACTGCCCGTCTATAATTTTCTGCTTGACGACATTCTGCTTTTTAACTTGATATCGCAAGCCTGCATCTTTCACAAGGACGCTAGGCAGCAACGTTGCACCGCTGATCTTGGCCTTTCCGCTTGCAACTCGTTCGGAATATGCGACAAAACGCTCCTCATCTCGCTTGATGAAGACATCCACGTAGCGATTCATGGCAGCAGATGGGATACGGTCGTATTTGATGTTTGCGTATGCCTTGGCTGACAAATTCCGCTCAACAATGTCCAAATGCTTCCGCAAAGCAGAGATTGACTTTCGGTATTCTTCACGAACATGTCGCAGATAGATTTCTCGCTGCTTATTTGCGTCACCTGCAAGTGCGGCATCGTTTTCCAACAAAGCCTGGAGGTTCGGCATTGGGTGGAGAATCTCTGCGATAGAGGACACGATGATTGTATGCCTGTCATGGAATCGCTCATGGGAAGGCGCCCATTTCGCGCACAGAGAGATCTTCCCCTTAGCTCGGGCATCTGAGCTGTGGAGCAGGTCTAGATCCTTCCTTAGCTGCGCAGCGAATAGCCTGGCGACAGTTAGATGCAGGGCACGGTGGAAGGCATCGCTATTGAATTTCTCAATAGCCCGGCTATGGCGTTCATCCCGAATTTCGTGGCGCTTAGCACGAGCTTCCTCTTCCGTACCACGTGACTGTTTATCGGTTATGTTGAGGATAGTCCTAGGAGACGTCTCCGCATCGAGGACACCGTTGGCACTCAGAGCTAGGAGATTCAACAGATCCTTCCAGTAGCCATGCGCAACACCATTGGGGACGTCGTGAGTGGCTGTTTCATCAATCTCGCCAGAGGCATCCTCAGCAGACACAATCACCATGGCATCCTCGTCACCCTCGCCTGGAGAGGTCCCTTCTGCGGAGGCCTTCTTCTCGATAACGGGCCTGCTAATCCATCGGAGGTTGTTGAGAAGAGTGCGAGGATGGTTCTTTGCCAGCCAGCCTGCAGACATGTAAAAGCTTATTCTGGACCCCTTGCCGAGATGAATCGAACGTGAATTGAAGATGATTTTGAGCGTAGCGAGAGGATCATAGGCCCAAGCGGCATCAAGGATCTCCTTAAGCCTTGGCCCTTGGACAGTATTCTCTAGGTCGAAAAAGAGATCAACGAGCGGGTTGCCTGCCGTTGCGTGGGTCGGGTCTAGGTTCTCGGTGACTGTCATGTTGGGGCCTAGTTGAGGAGGGCGACGTTCGGATAGGAGGGCCTTCATAAATGGCTGGCCCGGTGCGGAGGCGCCGCTCTGCGCCTCTTTCTCGGTAGGCAAGTCCTTCATTTCCACCTCCTTGCTCACTTCCTGGGGATGAAGATCACTCTCGATGAACTTTGCAAATTCGCCATCCGACATGGTGAGTGCAGGGTGAGTAGGGAAGCGGACTGAGAAACCATATTTCAGGAACCAGGGCTCTTGGGACTGTACTTCTTCATTCGCCATGATCAGCGGTAGGGCGATGTCTCGCCTCGCGTCTGATGGTATTGAAAGGGTCTAGATAGGGTGAAGTCAAGTCAACTTCTTCAAGGCCAGAAGAGAGATGGACGGGCAAAGTCGACTGGTGGCACCGCAGGGGGGCCTTGGGCTGTTTTTAAAGGGAGCTGAGAAGAACTTGTACGGCTGAATAGACTAGCTTCAATGGTAGACTAGCTTCAACGGCAATTGATCCCTGTGCTCCGTCCCGCCGGGTGAGTCAAACGGGGGACTGTGAGCAAATAGTGGGATCATGGATGGATGCCTACAGGGCGGAGTCAGGGAACCACTGCAACCAACAAACAAAATGAAGCGGCAGGCGCAGTCCTTGCCAGACGGAGACCCCCTTCTTGTGCTACCACCCAACTAGTTGTAATTCTAATTTATTCCCTATACACAGGTGGTGTGCATTAATTACACTAGAGTGACTGCGCCGCAGGGCTGCAGGGGTTATACCGTAGGATTAAAGTTGAAAACGCCAAGGGCCCCGCATTCGGCGGGGACTTTCGGCGGGGACCCGCCTGTATTTTGTGCCTTACGACCCGCCTACAGAGTGAACTTGAAGAGCCGACGACACAACCCCTCCGACCTGCAAGCGGGCACTCATGTCTAGGGAAAGTTGGTAAATAGAAATTGGTTTTATAGATGGTATGAAGAGGTTCATCTCGTCGAGGCCCTCTAGTTCCCAGCATCCATTCATGCTGTACTTCGTCAAAGGCAGCACCTTCCTTCGAGCTCCGAATGTGGGGCAATCAAGTCCAGTGCACCTGCCGTTGCAATTGTTGGCATTAGTGTAGTTCAGAGCAAGGAAATGTCAAGCACATGTTATCTGACTAAGCTAGGCTCCAGCTCCAAGTCTCTCGGGCGTCATAAAGACAACGGAGAAAGTTCAATGCTACTTAGAGCTTATCTCGACTACCTCCCTGACCTCACCCAAGTCATGTCCGTCCCCAGCCTATTTGGGCGTTGATTCAGTTGAGGTGCACCTCATGAGCCCGCCAGCGTTCCCAGTCTCTTCTCGAAATCGGCACCTACATCAGCACTGCTTCCTGGACTGACTCGAAAGCGGTCGCGAAAGCCTTGTCCGCTCTCGCCTCCCTTGAATGTCACTTACCGCCCTGTCGTGTCTCGCGAAAATTCGGGAGCTTTCGCGACACGCCGTGGGGCCAAGCGCCCAGCACGAATACTGAAATTCCAACAACGCATGCTGCGATGGTCACTTGTGTTACCTCCAGTCACTCCGCCTAGCGCAAACCGCAACTTAGTAGATCGATGTCTTGGACTCGTCCGGTCCTTTGAATCAACGCAACCAAACTCTGCCAGGAGACTCCTTGCTGTCTAAGTTCTTATTAATTTGACATTGCATTTTCTCCTAGCGGCGTGAATTCTATTCACCGATCAATCCCTTGCTGCCAGCACAGCCACAACCATCGTCACCAACCGACCGCGCTTCACGAAACCAGCCCTTCTTCGACCAGGTCGATCGATTATCAAGCCCTTTTTCTAACCCACTCCCTCACTGCACGCAACACACTTCTCTCCCCACTGGACCGAGTCGGCTTCCCTTCCTCCAACTGCCTTATCGAATGGTCCTCCGCTCTCGCCAAAGCGCCTTCTCGTCATGCCATCAATGCGGAAGGCTATCCAGAAGCGACGGCCGAAAGCCGTGCTTCTCCAAGACTTTCACCACTTTATTATTCTTCTTGGAGGAGAGCTCCTGAAAGTGGGTGGGAATCGCAGGCTCGCCAAGGTTGCCGGCCGCTGGGCCAGCTCGGTAATTTCACGCACCCAGCGGCCCGGCGACGATGACGACCCTAATCCAATAGTGGTTCCCATTTCGTTTCTTTCGCGGGGACATGGTCATCTCGTCCGCCGAGACTTTGATTCCGCCATTGAAGATCTTGAGATTTCGCGAGAATTATTTCATGCTCTTCCCGACTGCTCGTTGAAGCAATTTTATTTAGGTCGTTGCCTCTGTCTGTTGCTGCAATGTTACTCTGTTCGCGGTGCACCCGACCGAGGATTGGGTGTATCTGCTTATGCGTCAAGTCTTCTTCGCACATTTAAGGCATTGATCGGAGAACCGAGCCAACGCAGCTATGACGACAGACTGGACAATGTTCTTTTCAAGCTGGTCCACCACCCAGATATTTGGCATGAGAGGTGCCTATACGATCTTGTGGAAATCACCACGGCATATCTCGCGCTGCGGCCCGTCATAGGTGCCCCGTTCTATGTAAACGTGGTACAACTTTTGGCGGAAAGGCCTGCCGAGGGCTTCGGGCCACCATACGGCCTGGAGAAAGAGTTAGCGCTTGCCCTGAGCGTCTGTGGATTTTTCGATGATGCGGTAATCATCTGGCGGAGGTTACTCCGCTGGAAGGATAAGCCTGTGAAACGTCCAGACGAGGAAGAAGACAGCATTCGATTTCGTCTCCTGGCCTGCCTTCTCGTCATTGACGATGTGGGTGAGGAAACCATGAAGGAATACGAGAAGATCAATGTTGCTCATAGTCTCATCCACTACGAACACGGTCAGATACTGCTGTATTTGGTTCGGCGGTTGCTATACAGGAAGCAAATGTACCGCGAGCTGACATCACTATGCAAAAGGATCCATTTGATCTGCGATGCCAAGTTCGGTCCCGGTCATCTCGTGGTCGTGGTCAATCGGTATTACTATGCGCGCATCCTGAAGAAATTAGGCAAGTATGATAGGGCCATCGTCGCGTACAAGAAGTTACTCCTGATACTGCGTCTGTTCTTGGACGATGATGACCCATTGGCGGGGCCCCCGTTGGAGCTATCGGCCCTCCGCGGAGATACTAGGAAAGGCTTGGCGCACGCTTTGCGCCTGGCAGGCCGAGTTGATGAGGCTATATTCCAATACCGGAAGGCTCTTGAAGACGATCGATCGGGGCTCCTTACGGACCGTAAGGCGAGGCGCGGGATCCTCAAGTCGCTCGCGCACTTGTACGAGCAAAACGGTGATGTGGCAGAAGCCATTATTGCCTACGATCTTCTACATAGGGAGTATATGGTCATGCCTGCCAAGGACGTTACGGCAGCTATCAAATGCAGCTGGTATCGGGGGAAGATGTTTCACCTAATGGGCCAGCCCGACCATGCTTTGGCATTGTTCCGCCATGCTGCCACTATTTGTGGAGCCAGGAGGATGGAAAATGCAAAAACTCGATGGCCCACGCATGACCAACTCGAATTGACGAGGATGTTGATGGAGAGCGATGATGCTGATGAAGAGGAGCGACGCGACCAGGACAAGTCTCAACCGCCAGCAGTCGAACCTGCAGAACAAACAACAGAGCAAACTGCTGAGGCAAGCTCTCGAATGCCGAAGACACAGCAGATCTCGAGACCACAACCACCGGAAGCAGCTCCTCAGGAAGAGCCCATCGGCACGGAAGGGTCCACAGTCCTAAATGACATCAGGAGTACCATCGCTAACAAAGTTAGATACGCCCATCTGGTGGTCATGGATTTCGATGACGTATTCGGGTATGGACCGGACGATTCTGGCTCAGAGTGTATGGCCCAGAGCGTCGATGACAAGGATCGCCTCTGGGCTCAAACCATTAGCAACTCGATTGAGGCTGTGGAACGCGGAGACACGATCGAAAGACCTGCCCCTCTTGATTGCCATGACTCGGATTGGGAGGACGAAGGATCCGATTTCGAAGGCGAGACTGTCGGAGACGCTCCGTTCGTCAGCATTGGCAGGAGACCGGATGAACTTGTTTTCCCCCGGTTTGCCCCGCTCCCAGCGACCTACCAGATCTTCGTCCTCGAGAAAAGAGATCGGGAGAAGTATCCCTGGAGAGTGCGATTTGATCAAAAGAAGTGATTCTTGTCCCCCCCCCTTTTTTTTCCCTCTTTTTTCTTTTTGTTTTCTTTTCTCATTTCATAACCGTCAATGGCATCAGGATGAGACGGGTCGGAATATACACCGAATGGTCATGATAGGCGTCATGAATGGACATGGTACGGCGGGAATTTCATGGTTTTTAAAGGCATGGAGCAGCGTGGCATCTCTCGAGTGTGTTTCTATTATTTCGGAAGTTTGAGTTTATACCAATACCCAATCGTCGTTTTTCGTTCCTTCATATCTGATTTCGTCTTTTTTGACTCAGAAATCAGGATCACCCTGGACATCTATATCTCGGGCACTCTTTTCACCCTTCAGCACAAACAGCTAGTAACCCACCAACCTCTCACCAACCTCAATGACGGGAGGCTCATCCACCTTTTCGGCCTTCACCAGCAAACCAATTGACGTTCCCTCCTTCACCCTATACATCTCAGCCCTACACACCGCCATGATCACAGCGATAGCAAACGAGTGCACCGACAGCGACAGGAATGTGCCCTCATCATTCGCAAAGATATCCTCCAGCACTTTCTGCTTCCTTTCCACGTGCTCCCGCAGAGGCTCCCACCTATCAGCCCGCCACAGCTCGTCCGTCTCGGTAAAGCTCTCCTCGATGCGGTACTCGGGGAAGTTCTCAACAATGTAGGATCGCGAGCTCCGCCTATCGCAGGTATGATCCGTAATCTGCTCGCGCAGGAGCTCCTTAACGGTCGGGTTGAAGGGGGCGTTGCGGGCGTTGCAGATGGGGTGCCAGATGTGCTTCGTGGTTTGGAGGCAGCGCGTCAGGGGGGAGGTGTACAGCGAGTGCGGGAAGGGTGCGCCGTTTTCGATGAGGTCGGTCCAGAAGGCCGAGAGCGAGGTTGCTTGGGAGATGCCTTCGGGGGTGAGGCGGGCGTCGGCCCAGGATACGGTGCCGTCACCTTCTAGGAGGCTCCAGTGGCTCTGCGAGGTGGTTAGTCCACGATCCCCAGCCTCTTTCGCGGTTAAAAATGTTTCAACCCCTCAGCGAAACTTACATCCCAAGCCTCCGTCCCAACCTTCTCGTGCATAACATTATGATCCCCCTGCCCATGCCTCGTCAAGTACAAAACCTTGTAGCACGTCCCCTCGGGCGCCTTCTCGTTCAGCGCCTCGACGTACTTTACGAACCGCTGCCACTGCGTCGAGGTCCCGTTGCTCTCGTCCTCGGCATCGTCCGTCTCGTAGGCGCGGGCGATCAGCGCCAGGTCCGGCTGCGTCGTGATCTTGAGGGTCGGGTCGGCGGCGCAGGCGGCGCCGAAGCTGGTGAAGATGTCGGGGATGGCGGTGAATTTGTAGTGGGACATTTTTCTCCTTCTTCGTCTTGACCTTTCTTGTTTGGTTTACGATCGCGTAGTCTTCTAGAGGGGAAGTAGGGTAATCTGCAAGAGGAATTATGGGATTGGGATTTGTGATGATAGTTCACGAAGCTGCAAGTGTGTAAAGAGTGAGTGTGGTTCAATGTTCAATGTTGTCTCTAGATCTAGAAACAAACTCAATGGACTTCTCGTTCAGGGGACGGTATCGGAGCTAAAGAGCGCAATCCCTCGTAAACCCACGCTTATATACACTACGGAGTACATAACCCCACGGGAGCTTCTCTCTCTAGGCAATTGGATTGACTTCAATTGTTTGATGAAACATTGCCCCTCATTGCCCCACCATCGTCTTCCGTTCAAATCGGAATTGCTTCGCGCTGATTAGATAAGCTTCAACAACAATTTTACTGAGTTCGCAAAGGAGAAGAAGATGGGCCATCAAAAACTCTCGACATTATGGGCTTTATTTAGTACAATTATAGGCTAGCAAACTGGGCTGTCCTCGTAACTACCTAGAAGAAAAGGGCGCGAGAAACTCGGGAGTTTCAATATATATAGGCCCTGCAAAAAGGCTAGATTAGGGAACCAAACTAGCCCAATTCGAGCCGCCAGCTCACCGTGATAGTTACGCCAAGTTGGGCATCTAACCTCGTCGCGGGCCTCAATAACTCCCACTGGAAATACAATAAGTAGTGATATACCGTCTCCAGCCGTCATTATGTCGTCGTCTCATGTACATGCACCGTGGTGTTAGTCGCGGCGTCTTTTCCGAATTCGCGGCGGGACATTTTTTATTTTTTATTTTTTTAGGCGAGATAGCTGTATGAATTGCCTTCTCTTTCCATGTAGTCCTTGTCGATTAAGCTGGCAGAAAGGAGAGAAAACAGTTAGAAAAGGGCAGTGGGGGTAGTGGAAGAGGAGAGAATTGGGATAACCGGCTTTACTTACTTTTCGATCGCCTGCTTAATCTGCGCGGCATCGACGTGTCCGCGGCTCTTAGTCATATCAATAACTTCAGCCACCAACAGCGCATGAGACATAGTTTTCCTCGACTTCATGATGCGAACAATGGCAGCCTGCGTCTCCAGTCGTCGATCCTGGACGATGCGCTCGTGCGTCGCCTTGTTCTCCGCCTTGGTCTCCTTCATCTGGATCTGGTTGATCTTGATCTTGTACCGGTCGTCCCAGAACAGCCGATTGAACGTGAACGTGTCGGTCTCGTTGACGTCGCGGCCCTTAGGGTGCTTCGTCAGTACCCGGGTCTTGCCGCAGGCCAGCGATTGGAGCGTGCGGGCTAGCTCGTCGCCCGAGAGGCTCGTCATTTGGGAAATCTGCTGGTACGTGAGGGCCTCGGCGTCGTCGACTGTGTTAAAGGCCAGGAGCACGACGGCCTGGAGGAACGACACGTTGAGTTCCTTCTCGCCTCGCTTAAACCGCGCCGTGATGGCGCAGTGGCCGAGGCTGTGCTTCCAGGTGAGGACGCGTCCGTTGTGCTTGCGCTTGTAGTAGTCCTCGAACCGCAGAATCTGGTTGGCGACGTCCGGCGGCATGTTGACCTTGAGATCATCATAAGACGGCCATGCCGCCGCGGAAAGGATCATGACCTGAAGATCGAAGGGTACTCTATACTGGCCGGCATCGCACGACTGCTTGTACGATTCCATCTCGTCCTTAGCCAGAGCCTTGTCCTTGAACATCTGCTCGAGGTTGTGCGTAAAGTTGGCCCCACATTCACCGCGAAGCTTGCTTAGCGTCATCCTCTCGGCATCTTGGCTAGCGCTCCTGTCCATGAGAAGTCGGCGAGCTAGATCGCGCTTATAAAAGGTTTCGAATGCAGCCTTTCCTTCGACAAATCGGAAAAGAGCAATGGCTTGGTCGATTTGGTGCTCCAACTCTCCATCCTCGTCGGCAGCGGTCGATTTGCCTTTGGATTCGGCTTCCAAACGATCAGTGCTGTTCGCATAGAGGGCTCTTGGCAGAGCCTTGAGGCCTCCACGGAGGAGCAGGTCGAAGTGCTTCGCGATCATTTCGCCAATCTTATCTTGACCGGACTCCCATACTGCTGTGTTCTTCTTCTCATTCATGAAATAGCGGAACGCCTCTCTCAACGTCCACTGGAAGTCCTCGTCTTTATCGAAAGCCTCTCGTAGAATCAGGTCGAGGGACCTGCGCAGACTTAGGAGCCTTGTCACCATCTCGTCGCCTCGGTCTGTGTCTCGAACAATGCCTGATCCAGTATCCTTAATATAACCGGCCCACGGCTCCTTAAGTTTATCATGGACTCCGGAGAGCTTGAGAAGCTGATACAACGCTGCCATCGAATCGATCTCGCCGCCCTCGATGAGCCTCGAGATACCGGTGAGGTCAAGCAGTTTCTGGAGGTGATCGTGAATCAAATGCTTGTGTGCGAGGCCTAGCAGCTGCTGTTTTGATGAGCTGTCGAGGTTGTAGGCATCGCAGCGATGGGTCTCGTTCTCCAGCAGAATTCTACACTGCTTAATATAGTCCTTGAGGCTACCAATGCTGCGCTCACTGGCGAACTCCTTGAAATACTCGGCGGAGGACTCGAGCAGCCTCGGTTCGAACCACCTCGTGTACACGCCAAAGATGTGAAGCATTGACACTGCATCTCTCAGCAGCAGTGGCTGGAAGCGATCGTCACCGGTGCGATCGAAGTGGATGAGCTGACACATGCCGTCAGCTACGACTAGAGCAATGGTCCGACGATCGGCAAGCTTAGCGCCGGGACCGCTCGAGAGCATTTTCTTGAACCTCGAGATTAACGCGTCGTTAATCTGCTGCAGCTCCTTCTTCCTCGCGAGGTAACTGGCATCGAGGTAGGAAAAGCTAGAACGGATTATCTTCTGAAAGCGGGCCAAAGTTGTTAGCAACTGGGAAATCTCTCAGTAGAGACAGCGACTCTAGCAAAAAGGGTCGTAAGGGTAAACGTAAGGTAGGGAGGGCCGGGATTAGAGCAGGGCAACGAACAGATTTCGCACTCCAGACTTCCCACTCTGAAAGGACAGCCTCGAGCATCTCCACATCACTCCCCTTGCCGGAGGCCTTGATGGAGGGCAAGACCTCTTCTGTGAGGTACTTCTCGCAGAGATCCATCAACTTCCGGTAAACGTCCTGCTCCCGCTTGTGTCTGCAAAGATCCTCGACGTTGCGAAAGACCCGATCAAACGGAATCCTCGGCCTTTCACCCTGCAGAACGGCTTTGAGCGCAGACGAAATCTCCTCCCACGACGAATTGAAGTAGGTATCGGCATCGGCCTGCTGGCCGGAACCATCGAGGCGCCGGTTTTTAATCACGATCTTTTTGACAACTGTTCTCATGCTCTTGGGGCCGAAGGCGCCTAAAGGTTCCTTCCCCGTTCCTATGGGAATAGGGCGTTGAAGTTGAGTCGAGGAATCGGACATTTTGGCTCGTTTCGTCGCTGGCGCAGAGGAAGGTTGTCGAGATTCGGAGCCGACGGTGCGTCGTCGCTTCGCCTCCTGAGAGGGCGACTGCCCGCTGGGTGGAGGTCCTATCTCCGGTGCGGTTGAGCTTGCTTTGGGCGCGTTGGTGGGAGCTTGGGCGTTCGGCGGCGGCATAGGGAAGAAATGTTCCAATCTCCCCAGCAAGAGGTGAATGGAGGCGTTTCCCTGCTGGGATCGATGATGTGTTATTTGTTGTGCCAGTTGCTGATAAGCAAAAGTGCGAGAGCAAAGGAGAGGAGGTGGGATGGGTGCGAGGGTGCGAAGTCGAAGCTATCTCCAGTCCATCGAAGAGAGTTGAAATGACAGAAAGTACCAAAGTATCACAGTACCAATTTTTGTACTTGTAGTGACATTGTTCCAGTAATACAATTGTAACTGCACAATTGCAGTCTTGGTTCAGCATGCAATTACAGGGCCTTAGTAATTAGTAATTACGCCCATTAATTGACCAACAAAACTGGTCGCAGCAAGATGACGTTTATGATTGATGCTAGAGTCTAATTGGCAACCTCACCAAAATTGACGACGACAAGAAAAGAGAAAAGAAAGAAATACATGAGATGGAGGTATTATTACACCAGAATACAGTATTCCAAGACACAGTAAAACGCTTTCCAACACCTAGCCTACATGAACTCGGGAGAGCTCTAAACGTCCTTACGCATATGCCGCCCACCCTGCAACAACAAAGGTCACGTTAGTCGAGGATTCAAACGTGGTAGAACGGATGTGTTATCCTGTTTGGGAGTCTTACCTGAGTACAGCACCGCAAGATTCCTCTCATCAGTGGCCTGGTTAATCAAATCATTTACCGTTGCAGTAACGCTTAGCGTCTTGGACAGCTTCTTCCTGACCACCTCCAAAGCGCGATCTGCTTCGGACGGCTCATTGATTCTCGAGCCCTTCCTTCGGTTCTTCTCTGCTTCCTGTTCGTCAATCTCATCCCTCTCCTCGCCGTCTCTCCGCGCGTCTTGAAGTTTGGCGAGCCGTACTGGCGAGATCGACCATGAGTACAGAGGATCGTACCGCAGCACGTCGAGGATCGTCATGATCGAATACGTCTCTTCCCGTAGCGCATCTAATGTAAATTCGCAGCAGCGCCGGAACACACCCTCGGTCTTGGTGATGCCCATGCCATCGACGATATCTCGCGTTAAACGGAAGGGCACGAGCTCCGGCACGGGGAGAACGCGACCCATCTCGAATGCGACGCCGAGATCGATGTGCACTACTTCGCCCGTCTTGGTGTCCAGTAAAATGTTGTGCCCATGTCGGTCTCCGAGACCAAGGACATGTCCTAGCATGGATATGGCCGCCGTGGACCTCGTATACGCCAACCGCTTGGCATACCACTCATCCGGATCGACGAAGTACTCCATGAAAAAGTACCGCATCACGGGATGGAATCGGTCTGTGACCTTGCGGTAGGTGGCTACCCTGGTCTCCACCGACTTTCCCTGCACATTGCCAATTTCTCTCCTACACTGGCCTCCCTTATAATCCTTGGGGTAGTAACGTTCGTGAGCCGGCATCAAGAACTCGTGAAGTGGAATGGTATTTGGGACGAATTCTATGAGACCAGACGATGCTGTCAAGGGAAGTACCTTGTACGTCCTGATACCAAGATTTCGTTGCTGCGTGTCTCGATGGAGTTTGAGAAGGGAAGAAACGGCTGCAAAGACCTGTTCCATGATGGCATCCTGCCGCAAGTCGTCATTCCCACCCTTGACGAGCTGCTTGTACTTCACCCCATCGCTACCAAGCGCCGTAACGATCTTGGGCGCGCTGATGCCCGACGCGATAGACATGGTGGGCTCGAGTGTGGTAATCACTGGGACCTTTGAGTAGTCTTTATCAACTGACAACTCCATTTGCATCGTCGGTGGCGGGATAGGGTATCGGACTAAGCAACTCAGAAGGTTGTGCGCTGCAGGACAATCCTTCAACCGTAGACGGGCCCCGTTCTTATACCTCTCCGGGTTGCGGTCGGCGGCTAGAGCATGGTAATATTTGCTCGTCTTGTCGATGGCCTGCCATGTTGAGGCAACTTCCTTCGTCGTAGCCAGATGCTTAGCGACCTTCTCCGTCGCTTTGTGACGGGAAACCGCCACATCATCTCTCTTGTTGAGACGCGAGTTCATTCCTGCCCATATATGGTACATGCCGTGGTACGGATGGTCGATGCAGATGTTCAAGATCATGCCAAAGAGCAGTCGCTGAAAGAGACTTGTATCATCTTGGAGTCTCGACGACAGTTGATTCATCAGCGTTGCGAATTTCCTCGTCGGAACTTTATCGAAATACTTCCTGACTACTTCGTTTATTGCCTCATCCTCTGCCTTTTCAAGCCAGAGTGCTGTGAATCGCAGAGCGTCATTGTTGTGGGCATCTGACGCAATCAGGGAAAGGAGGTAGTTTTCCAAGCTGAGTCGCACGAATTCGTTTCGTGTTTGCTCGACTCGACGAAGCTCTTGTTCGTCAAGCTCTAGCCACTGTCTTGCCTTGGCCAGATGTCCAGTGTACCTGTTCCTGATTTGCGTCTCCTTCGTACTAGCAATCAACTCCTTGAGCTGCATGACTTCGTCGCTCTTGCCTTGCCGTAGGTTTTGCAATCGTGCAAGATCCTCGAGGCCATCTGGGTTTTGAAGCTGCTCGTCACAGAACATGGCAAACTGGTGGAACACTTTGCTTGCTTCCTTACCCTTGTTCTTCCCTTTCAGCTCCTTCAGCGCTGGCTCGAGATATTTTTTCTGTATATTTTGAGGCTTTTCAAGCCTGGCAACAGAAACCTGATGGCCAATTTTGGAAAGCAAATCTGATCGGCTAACAGGCACCGTCTGCTTCTTGAGCGCCGAGTCTTGATCGATACTCTGTAAGATACCAATAGACGATGCCATCTCTCCATGATCCCAGAGAGAGTTCGCTGCTTCCATCCTGATTGCAGCGTCGACAACAAGTCCCAGTTTCTCGCATGGCTCAATCATATCTGTCAAGGTAGTAGACACATTCAAACATTCCTGTGTAGCTTGATGGAATCGGTAGATGTCCGAGGACATAAGCATCGATCGTATCTCCACTTGCCGTGCATCGGCTGGGGAAAGATTTGCCTTAGTGCGTAGGACTGTCTGCTGGCTCAACATACTCAGGGTCGTTGCCCTACAGGAAAGCATATGGCTAACGTCATCGTACCGCCCGCTACGCATCCATCGCGATCGACCATCGAATTTGTCTAAAATAGCCTCGAGATCAGGAAATGTGGCGACGTTCAGAATATCGTCAAGCTCTGACAACACCGCAAGAGCGCCTAGATGCTGACGGAGACTCGCAACGTTGTAGTGCTGAGTGGTCAGGGCGCGCATGGTTTCTTCAAACCCGTCATGGACGGTCTTGCGAATGGTTAAAATCTCGCTCGCCTGGTGAATCGTCTGGTAGGCCTTATACACGGTCACTGCGTAGTTTGTGGTCGACGTAGGGACCGGAAGGTTCCACTGCTCTAAACGTCGCGCCGTTTGGAAAGTAGTCTCCAGAGAAGCAGATTCACCATCAAGGCTTTGTTGTGTCTGGAGTAGCGAATGGGACAAGCCAGCTAGTCCGAGTGTCGTCAGTGTTTTAACAAGTGACTTCCCATCCCGTTCGGAACTGCGATCGCGTAGCCGAATATGGCTATCATATTGGGCCCCCCGAAAGGCAAGGCTCTTTGCTCCATCTTTTTCATACTCAAGCCTTGCCAACACACTAGCGAGGCTTGAATTCTGAGACAGGCCGTAGTACGCATCGGGATCATCGATATTCTCGTAAATTGTTAGCAAGAGATCACTAGAGTCATGCTCCCTCGCAGCCGAAGCCCGTCTCGATGTGCGAGTACTTTCCGCCGGGCCAGATTCGACAAATAAGAGTGCCGTCTTAGGCATTCCGCATCTTGATGCCGCAGAGGCGGCCCCAAGAGCATCCACGTCCAACCAGTGTGCGCGATCCGCGATCGAGGTCTCGTTAGGTAGCCTCTGGGTTCTCAGGTAAAGGAGGGCATTTATCACAAGCTTTTGGTTGTCTTTGGCCTTCGCGCTAGCGACAGAGAGCCACTCCTTGAAGGCTTCGGAGATTTTTCGCTTGACAACTTGGTGTTGGTCCATCTGGGCAAATAAGGTCAGGTGGAGGATGTAAGGAAAGGCCTGTTCTGCGAACCCCTTGACCTCTTCCAGCAACGGAGAGATGACCGCGAGGACAATAACCTGGGTCGATGCGGACCGTGCAAGATATAAACAGAGACGCTGAAGCCAATTTTCATTCTCGATATTCTCTTTCAAGAACAACCGGTCCTCCGTAGGGGGGTCAAGAGACGGACATTCTGAAGGGGGCGGGTAATACTCTCCCCAGTCGGAGGTTAGAAAGAGCGTTTCGCTCAAAGCCTCCTGACAAGCCACAGTTAAATGGTCATCCTGAGCAGCCCTAGCCTCAGACACAACAGATCGAAGAGCGGATTCGGCAAGACCCGCTGTGGAAGGGCTCTTGTTTATCGTTAGGCCTTGAAGAAGGTGAAGTAGACCACGCTGGGAGCCGTTGGCACCGGGCGCAATACGGAGATATTGGGACAAGCGCGACTCTTGTAGAAGCTCGTCCGGTACTGCACCAGATGCGGCGAATGACCTCCCAGCGACCCTGCCTGCCCAGGCAAGATACTGCCCGCTTAAGGCCTGGGCCATGCAGCTCTTCCACACTACCGGGGCCTGAGAGATGGCCTCTTGGTCCGTCTCTATTATGTCTTCCCGAATCGATTCTGGCAGCTTAAAGTCACCACACAGAAGACCTAGAGCCAGATCTCGCGCTGAATCATTGAGTAACTGATCTTGCTGACCTTCATCTCGCAATATCTCAAGAAGGAGGGTGCTCTCGTGGGTACCCTTGTCGGCATTTCCTGAAGATCTAATATGTGCAGCTGACTGGGTAATGGATCTAAAGATAGCTTCTTGTTTTAGGTCCGACTTGAAGCTAGGCGACGTGTATGACGCAAGATACTTGCCGAACCACGAGTGAAACAGTTTCGCTTTGCTCATGGTAGCCTTGAACTGGCTTTCTTGCGTGGTGCTCGATTGGCTAGACTCGAGGAAGACTCTCAGGGATGCTAGTGTAGAGAGAGCATATCCAGCAAGGAATGAGGGACTCTGCTCCAAATGAGGAGTACCCTTCGTTATGAGATACTGGCTGATTCCCATCGCATCATCAGCACATTCAGAGTCCACAATGAACGCCCTGACTGAATGAAGCAGCATTTCAAGCGGATAGGAATCGAGAGCGACGGGTCCCGCTAAAGATATGAGTATTCTCAGCTTCCTCAGAACAGAGCAGGCATGCAACGACCCGAGGGCTGGGCGGACGGTATTGATGAGTTTTCGCGCCACGAATACAACCAGAGCTGGTGTCCATAGCGTAGTGAACTCATATTTCGGAGCAAGATTACAGAGATGATTCAATTGGCGAATCAAATGGCGACCCTTGAACACCGGCTGTTGATTTGGAGGTAGTTTGACCTCCGAATGTGAGAATTTCTTGATCTCGGCGAGGATGTCACCGGCATAAGAGAGAGGCCCGATAAAGTACTGTTCAATGGGATCCTCTTGATCAAAAAGGTCCATGAAATGAGCCACCATGTCTGTAAAATTGGTGTAGACGGCTTCAATGAAGGCCTGGGAGCCTAGCAGCTTCCTAACCCATGCCTCACCTCGCTCATTGGAATTTCGGCTACTGGAGTCCTTGGCTCCGGCATCGTGGCTACTAGGTTCGCTTCGACTCTTAGACCGAGCGATCCCATGCGCAATCGCATAGGCCATGATCTTCGAAAAGTTTCCTGAAACGACGTCAACAGTACTCTTACCAAGACAGTCAGCAAGACCTTCTATCGAATCGCCTGGGCCGCGCATAATCATCAAGGCGGGTGCTTCGCTGCCGGAAGCCTTGATGAGCTCCTGTAATGAAGCGAACCCGAAGATAGAGTATGGTATGTCGTCGATCGAATTGTTGAGCAGCCAAGTGTAGAGGAGCTGAGGAGCAAAGAGAGAAAAAAGCTCTGCTGGTGATTTCAGTTTGAGAGCCGAGGAAACATTTTGGAGACAGCGCGTTGCATAGTTTGTTGCGGCTGGGATGTTTCCAGGTGTCTCAAAGATGTGGTAAATGCATCGCCGAAGCAGGGTCGGCCAGTGACATGCGAGCTCGGCCAGAGCGAAGAGACGGTAGGCGATCCCTTCTATGTTCTCCGGGTCGGCCGGGAGGCTACTCAGCACATCAACGAAGATATCGTCATGAAGCTTGAGAACATAGAGACCGAAGATGGTTGATATGTTGGCGCCGACAAAAAATTTGACTGCCATCGCTCCTTGCTGTTCGATAGACAATAGAGTTGACCGACAAGATGAGAGGCCGATTTTGTCCGCGTACTGAGTATCCACTTTCATGATGGAAAGCAGTAGCTTGACAAGGGCAACCTGGGTGTTCGGGGAGAGTTGGTTACCAGGTAAACAGGTCTTCACGAAATGGTGGTAAAGATCGCCGACCATAATCGCAACGTCGTGTTGGACGTCGATCCAAACAGGTAACAAGGCTTCGATAAGATCGAGGCAACATGAGAGTGCAACCTCGCAACAGTTGTACTCCGGAACCCTCCCGATAATACTTCCAACCCTTTCAACGACCCGGAATCCGTCACCGGGGTTTGTGACCAGGTCCGAGCGGAATATTTCGAGGATGGTATTTTGGCCGAGTAGGAACTCCTCGTCGCTAAGCGCCACTACGTGATCGAGGAAAGCCTCGGGAATGAGACCAACCTGTCCGACATCATTCGATAATATTTCAAGTAGATGCAGTAGAAGGGCCGTCTCTACGTAGTATGCGCTCAGGTCCAGGGTAAGATTCGTGATCTGCCTCGGGACTTCGGCAGACCGAGAAGCTGAGCTGGACTTGCTAGTCTGTGAATCGAATTCGTCATCGATGTCCATGTCATCTACATTCTGACCCGAGGATTGCCGGACATTATGCTCTTTCAGAACTCGTGAGAGTTTCGAACAGATCAAGAGTAATGGCTCATGCTCCGTGACTAGATAGTTCAGCTCTGACGAGGAAGTGGAAGGAAGGACGGGTCGAATCGATCTGAGCAGGACATCCAAAAACAACTGAGACTCATGGGATTCAAGCACGGCGACCAGAATATCATCAAGGAGCTTGAATAGCGCGGGCTCAACATCCCGAGACTGTCTCGTGTTCAGATCCGCCAGCTGGTGAAGGACCATGGATCCGCAGATACAGGCCATAAACAAGCTTTGCAGGCGTTCAGAAGAGATCTGCGAGAAGGAATCGGTGGATTTCTTGCTCCAACTATCACATAAGGTCTGGAGTTCTTCCAATTTGGGAGAAAGTAGTTCTAGCACCAGCTTTCTCGAGGTAAAAAAGCTTGAAGGGTCCGCCTTTTGTCCAGGGCTTCCTGAGAGGGTGGGGCGTGTGGAGGACAGGGGAGAGCGTGAGCGCAGCTCGGACTCGTCCAAGAGAAGAAGATACCTTCCGACATCTACCGCAGAGCAGTGGGACTTCCATGCTTGGCTGATGGAACCTCCCGATACTCGCTGCGCACTAGATGCCGGGAGAAGGCTTGCACCGCACGCAGCACGCAGTAAATTGACGAGGTCGACGGCAGCAACGTATGGGGAATGGAGCGACGCGAATGAGAGGTCCTCTGTACTAAGTTAGTTTCTACTGGCTCGACCAAGGAAGGTGGGCTTTCAAATCTTCTTCAACCTACCAGGATTCCACTTGAGAAAAACCCAACGTATGACATGGTTGCAGGTTGATTGACTGGCGCTCGGGAGCTTCAAATTCCGAAGTTGTAGTAAATGCAACATAAGCAGCAAGGAAGAGTCCGTGAGGACGGCAGGCCCATTGACATCAGCCGTAGTGACGATGTCATTAATATCATTTGAAATGACATGGTAACTGACGAGGTCTGCCTCCAAAAGAGTGCGGAGGAGTACACATGACGCACGGGATACGCCAGGAAGGCTGACACTACGCACGACAAGCTGCCACATCTGTTTCCATGTGGATGCCAAGAATGAGTTGGAAGCATCCTCCCTCAAAGCGCAGCTAGGTGTCACGGTTAGTATGACCACTAGCGAATGTGCAACCTATTGCCAGCTCGACTCACCTAGCCGCAGACAACATTGCCCACGATGCAGTCTGGATTTGTTTGGAAGTGACCAGACCAAGTAGGTCACCCACAAGGTCCCATACATCATCGCCGGCCAGAGCTTTACTGTGGACGAGGAAGGGCACGAGCTGGAGGGCAGTAAACTGAGATTCCGCGTCAGATTTTAGTTTCTGACGGAGCCGGTTGGGCTCCTGGGCCATTCGACGGCGCTTCCGTGGCTGCTCATCGCCGCCAGCCGGCTGAACTCTCTCTTTCTTGCTATATCTCGAGAACACACTTTCGAAGAAGGCGAGGCACTCCAGTACTGCCCATTTGCGCTCGGCTTCCTTGTCATGGGGCTGAAGGCTGAAGAGGGGCGTTTTAAAGAAATCAGGTGGTACCGGGAGCGAGCTAAAATTCAAGTCTTCAAGTCGCAGCTGGTCTGACGCATCCCGTCTGGAATATTCGGACCATAGGACGTCAAGAAGATCCCCCACATCCTTGCGAATCTGATCATTGGCATCCATCTGAACTAGGTGCTCGATGTGGAGGAACATCGCGAACATGGTTCGTATCATCTCGTCCCTTATAGACTTCAGCATCTCATCCTTGGCTACCTTTTGGACATCCCACCAGTGAGAAACAACGGAGAGCAGCTCGGTTGTTAGCTTCCTCACCAAATCTAGATTTTCTAGCTCCATGCGAGTCAGGATAGTGTTGAGCGTAGCGAAAGAGAACTGCTGGATACGGCCGAGTGTAGCCTGCTTAATTTTCAAGATGCGCAGTACAATTCTTGATGCCTCTTCCGCGACTCTAGTGAGTGGTGAGTTGGGTGTGAGCACCAGGTAATAAAGGCACTCGAGAAGATCCAAGAGTGTAGTCTTGCTTATGTATCCTGGGCCCTTGTGACCGACATCCGAACTTGACCTTCCTGAGGACCTCGGGAGGGGAGTGCTTCCGGGGGCCGGAGACGCTCGAGCGAGGACACTCGCATCTCGATCCACATAACTAAGGTACCCGGATATCGCGTCGATGCAAAAGTGGACAACTGATTCCCACCCATCCGCAGACTGCCTGACGAGTTGTTCTACATTCGCTGGGCGAGATATAAGGAGAAGCAGGACTTTGACGTAGTCTTGGACCAATGGCTCAATCCATTCCTCGTCGGGGCCGGGTAAGGTCTGCGTGATGTGGTCAACTACGGCCAGGGTAGTCTTTCGTCGCAGCTTTGACAGTCCATGCTCCACAACTGCCCTTATCGCTTTCGCGCATTTAGATAAGCGCAGGGTTGCAGCGGCCCTGCCGCGGCCAAAGAAGAGGGATTTCTCAGTCAAGACGCATCTGAAGAGCGATTCCAGAAGCTTATGATAGTTCTTGTCCTCCAGAACAGAACTAAAGCACCTGTTAGCAATGGCTCGATATCTCGATAGTGAAACATGAACAGTTCTTTTTCCTTACAAAGTAGGATTCCTTCCGTTCTTATCCAGCAGAAAGACGAGATCTAGGGCGGAGGTCAGCACACGGTCACTAAAGAAAGGGAGGAAGGCCGGAAGCTCACCGTCTAAGGCCGTTCCCCGGGTCTTGTTACTACCATTCCCGATATCATCTGTTTGTCTGACCGTTAGTACACCGTCTTTCTACTCATGGTACGGACTTCTACGAACGCGAAAGCTGATTCACGGTATGCCCCTTGGCTGAAGACATCTTGACGAGGGAAATGAGGTTAAGAAATCCACGACAGAGCGGCAATCCTTACTCTCCCCAGGCAGCACAAGCTCTCCGCGTTATTTTAACGAGACCCATACGTTATTCACAGAACAGTTCGTAGGTCTATGTCAGAAAGCCAGGCTTAGCTCCGTGGGGGGCTGTAGCTCGAGCTCAAGATGGATGGAAGCAGGTGCTGCCTAAATTGAGTCATGAATTTGGTTGCAATGCGAACTTAGGACGGCGCCTATCAAAATATAAACGAATGAGGATGCTCGAAAAGAAAGGACGAAATCAAGCCATATGGTGCGTGATAAGATATTTGTCTGTTCAAAGCTTCGCGTAATATGGAAGAGAACCCAGCTGAGCCTCCAAGGGAAGTCGCGGGTGGACGCGCTTGAAGGCGGCAGAATCTTCACCGCCTTGATTATCCCAAACTGTACTTTACACTGTATCCAGAAACAGACAATCGCCCAGGCATCACGGTGTGAAATTCGATTGTCTCATTCCGCACTGTAATAGCTTTCCTGGAAGCTCTCCCGAAAAAAAGAGTCGCGATGGTGGAAACGTTCATCAGCCTCGCAACCCAAAGTCAACAAACGCCGCCCACCAACGCTGAAACCCCCCCAACTCAGCACTCCGGCCTCCCAATCCAAGGCCTCCGATCCATCTATCAACGCGGTACAAAACGCGGGGTCGGCTTAGTCGTGCACTTGGATCAGCTTCTCTGTCCGGCGGACTCGCGCATTCGGCTGCTGCGACTTTCCTCGATTCTCCCTCGCGCTCCCGAAGATAGTTGATCGCAGCAACGATGCAATAGTTCCCTTACAACCAAAATGGCCGAACAGACAACCTTGATCGCCCTCCAGACCTTGGACAGAATTTTTTTATCTATTCTTGAGGGCCGCCATGAGAATCTCGACCTCCTTCGGGACGATGGCTCCGTGCTTGACGTCTTTGAAGAAGAGCTCAAAAAGGTGTGGACCCGTCCAGCAAGAAGCACCGAAAGTCGGAATGCAATCAACTCCGGTATGGTTTGAGACCCATCCGTGCCATTAGAGCGGTTCTAACCTCGCTACTCTTTATAGGCAAGGTTACTGTAAACGGGGAGGAATACTCGATCAATGACGAATTCAAGCAGAATGTCTTGAACCTATCCGACGAGGTTGAAATAAACGAAATTGAAGCTGCCGCCATCGTTCTCGATTCGCAAGATGACCCCGGTATCCTTGGCCGATCGCTTCTAGAATGCTCTATAATACGATTCCACCAGCACCGGAAGTATGTCCTTGATATCATCCGTCTCCTTATCGATCTCGACCGCGAGGCGGAGACCGAAAATGGACCAGTATACGATTACGCTACACAGTATTTGCGCGAAGGCGTGTTCGCCGTGAAGGATTCGCAGCGGATCGTACCTCGATGCATGGTAGCCATGAAGGATGTTCGTGCATGGATCCAAAAGCTCAACGACAAAATAACTGCCGCGGCTGTCCTTGCGGGAGGGCAAACGCCAGAGCTCGCTGGGGAACTGGAGACGGTCGAATTTTCCCGTGTCAGCCTCATTCAGCAGCACGAGCTTATGGCCATTATCATGTGCAGAGCCATTGAAACCAATCTTGGACAAGAAGATGATTTTAAGAGCCTCCTCGCCGAACTCAAAGCCACTGATAAGTACGACAGTTTACTCGGTACGTTTATTCTTGCAGCCCGTGGAACGCCCCTTTGGTTTGCATCACTACTTGCTAACACTTCGAAATAGTCCACAGAATCCCCCCTCTCGGCGCCTTCGTGACGCATTTAGGTTCCGTAGAGTCCAACAGCGGGCTCAACCAGGCAAGGAAGTTAAATAGCGCGGTATGTCCGAAAGAGCCAGAACAATGGGCGCTACCATATTTGCAGGCCGCCTTCCGGGCATGGTGGCTAGCTGAATACAGTGGCTACTATATCGATGATATAGAAGAGGGCACCATTGTGCCTCCTGTAGATCTAGATGAAGGTAGGAATATCGAACGACCTTCTTCCGTGGCTTCGTCTCGTCTACTAACACGAAATTTACAGAGGACCGTGAAAGGGCGAGGCAATTCCTGGAATCCTTAAAAGATGGTGCTTTCGACTTCCTCTTGTCAGTCGCTGCAGATGTCAAGTCTGTCGAATGGCAAGACCCTGCCCGTATGGGTATGAGATCGTGGTTGCAGCGGAAGTCACCCAACCTTTCTTCCGATTCAGTTCCATTTTCGGAGTTTTTCCAAACGGCCTTGATGGCTCGCTTAGAAGTCTTCATCGACGGCTTCATTACGAATCTGCCCGATGTCTTGAGACGGCTGCGTGTTGAGCAAGATGAGCAACGGCAGCTCAGCCAGACGCACGAACACGACCTAAATTTGGAGCGGTTTCTCATCATCATTGCCTACTCTTACGAAGGTCGCCCTGAGGCAGCGGCCAATTTCTGGTCCGATCCGGACTCGAATCTGGCAGGTTTTATGCATTGGGCGTCTCGGCGAGCATCCACCCCATTAGTGACTGCTTTTTGTGAAATGCTCCAAGCAATCTCCGAGAACGAAGAATGCGCAACGTCCGCACACGAATTCCTCATGGACGAAGGGCACCACGCCTCGGGGAAGCTCCGAAAATCCTTGTCCTTGACGTGGTCGCAAATATTCAAGGAACTCAATTTCTTTTCGGAAAAGATACGGGAAAAGCCGGCACCCACACCCCAAGCAACCTTCCGTCCGGGCAAGCCTACGCCTGCGATTATGGAGGCTGAACCCGAGTCGGCTATGATGCTGGAGTGCTACCTGCGGCTGATCACGAAGCTAGCGACAGAAAGCGAAACTGCGAGGCTCTATTTGCTTCACGAACAAAAGTTCAACTTGGCCGATATCCTTTTCCAGCTCGCAAGCAGTCAAATCCCGCCCCGTCTCCGAGCCTGCACATTCTGGGCTTTGGGGGCTTTGATGACAAGAAAATCAGTCGAGGAATGCCATTCTATGTGGGCGCACGTAGACAATTGGACAACCGGAGCGTACAGCCTCCCACCATCCGGCCACCCCGCGGGATATCCGAAGCTCTCCCAACTAGGTCCCACGGTATCCCCGGAGCGAGTACTAGAAGAGATCAGCAATGGCTTTGAGGAGCCATATGCCTTTACGCTGCTCCTCACCTCTCTCCTTACTCCAGTCGAGGGCTCTAGCCCATTGAATGACTCCCTACCGTTCCCTGAGAACCTAGGGTCATCATATCGAATGCCCGGCATCGACGGCTTTGTCGATTACGTTTTAGGTCACGTCCTGTCGCGAAAGATTGATGAGCTCACGGACAAGAACCAGGCGCGGATGCTTAGATTGCGATGTCTAGACTTCGCCCTTGTCTGTCTCAACACATTTAATGAAGACCTCATTATCCTCGCAAACTCGACGAACCTCCCGATAGATTCGGCCATAACCACAAGCGACCTTGCCACCTATGTCCGCTTACACCCATTCGCCCGCGTGATGGAGTGGATGCTCACAGAGAAGGCCGTCGCTGCGCTTTTTGCGGCAATTCACCAACCCGCAGCTGAAGTCGGCAACTCATCCCCTGACTCCCCTTTAATTCTCGGCATACTCCAAGCAATTGCCCTCATCTCCCGAATTCTAGACCTCCAAGCTACTTACCTCGACATCGTCAGGCCTATTATCAGGAATCAGTCGACATATCAGAGGCTTCCTGGCTCCGCATCACTCTATTCTTCCTTTGAGGATGGCTTGGTGGGCCATATTAGTCTCATTGTTGATCTCGGAACTTTCTGTGGCCTTGGACTTCCCGATCTCACCCTCGCCTGCCTCAAGCTTCTCGAGCGGATATCCGTTACTTCGAGAGTCATTGCCGCTTGGTCGTGGCAGGGCGGTCCACATGCGCATCGCAACAAAGCTATCGTTGCACTGGAAGCTGACGGCGACAATGAGGCGATAGCACGTTCCTTCATGGCCGACTTGGACGCCCCTCTTGAACCAGGTCGCGAGATGGATTCACCAAGCTACATGATCAAGATCTATATCCTAGACTTCCTATATGCATGCCTACGTGAATCTCCTAGGAAACCTTCCATTGCGCATCTGCTACTAGGGTTTCAATGTGAGGTAGATCGACTTTCGGTTGAACCCAACAGTCCGTTCTACAATGGAACGTCTGTTTTCCATAGCTTGATTACGCTGTGGAATGGTATTTCCACCCTCGACGAACAAGGCATCCGACAGTGGCTCATGGCTCTGAAGTACAAAGCGCTCCGGATTCTACAAATTCTCTGGAGCTCACCTCTGACCGCTCCGCTGGTGATCGATGAATTGAGGAACATCGACTTTGTATTCGCCGTCTCGCGAGAAGAGCAGACAATATCCGCAGACCTTCTTTGGGAAGGAGCTTCTATGGTTGCGATGGAGTTCCCGCTTACGGATGGCGCGGTTACTCTCATGGACTTCATGTCTCATCGCGCCGCTGTCTTCGACTACATCGCCATTGAGCTTTGCGACGTATCCCAAGCAAATCTTCCAACATACAAGCGGAGAATTTTCGACGCGCTACGGGGCGAGATCCCCCAAAGTGCCCAAGAGGTGATGCCAGCCTGCTCTGTCTTTGAGCTCTTTGATTTTATCTTGCCGTTCGAGTCCTGGGAAATTTCGCCGCCATTACTGGATTTCTACAACGGCTTAGACGTCAATGTCTGTATCGTGGACGACGGAGACGGTAATCAGATCTATAGCGTTGACCAAATCAAGGAGATCTTGCTTCTCAGGCGCAGCGAGGCGAGAGACGTTGCATCGCTCATCTCGCCGCAGGATCTAATTGCCATCAACCGAGAAGAAGCTTGCCTTCTTGAATACCTCATGTCGTCCAACAGACAGGTGCAAATGGTATCCCAGAGTCTTAAACTTCTCAAGGCATGGGTAAACCTCGTACTCATCATGATCGAGTCGAACGACTTGCAAGGCAGCGCGCGGACATCTTTCTACTTACAAACGCTGCAGACGATACTTCCCAACCTCGAATCGTGTGCGTCGGAACGCCAGCCCCTAGCCTACGAACTCGCCAAGCTAGCAAAGGTGCTCCTCTTCAAGCTAGATCTTACGCCACCTGCAGGACCCGAGAGCGTCAACGGCAAAGCCGCCGAAATGAGCCACCTCGTAGGTGACAAGCTGTACCAGCTCTTCCAAACGTGTCTACAGGCCATCGGCAAGTGGGCAGACCAGAGCGAGCTCAGGACCGTTTACTATAGCATCTGCTACCGCTACCTTACCGGTATAGTAGATGAAGGCGCGGCCTTCTCCGAGCGCCAGAAGACGATGAAGACCATCCAGGTGTATGGCGATAGGTTGGCCAATGTCATCTGCGATGATGCATACGGTGGTGAGCCGGCCTGCCAAACGGCGGCCCTTATCCTCCTCTCAGCGCTCGTCCATCTCGGTAGCGAGGAGCGCGACAGTCACGTCGTCGACACGCTTAACAGGCTTAACTTCATCGGTGTGCTCGTGGACTCGCTGAGGAATATCATGCTCGAGAGCCAGGAGATCCTGCAGTCTGGGAAGCCAGAGCAGCAGCACTACCACGATGCCAAGCTCGCGCTCTTGCTGCAGCTTTGCCAGACTAGAGAGGGAGCGAAATACGTGCTGCACGCGAATCTCTTCCGCGCCATTGAAGCTTCCCGCCTCTTTTCCGTCGACCCCGAGCTCCAAATTAGTTCGTACTTCCCCCTTCTCTCCTTTCTTTTTCGTCTTCCCCATCAAATGGAGTGAAAATGTGACCCACTAACCTCCAAAAAAAAAAGACCCGAACAACCCTCAAGCCCTTACAAACCACTACGCCCTCCTCGCCAAGGTCGCCCGCATCATCGGCGCCGCCCTCGTCTCCCGCGGCTCCCACAACCTGCCCCAAGGCCGCCGCTTCCTGACGGATCACCGCATGCTCGTGGCGCACACACTCAAGCGCTCGGCGGGAATCGGGCACGTCGGGGGCGCGGACGAGGAGGCGCTGGCGGAGAGGATCGGCGAGTTGGCGGATTCGTTTGTTGTTATGATTATTGCGACGGGGTTCTTGGAGGTATGGATTCTGTTGCCCTGCCCTTTGTCTTGCTTTTATCATGCTAACTTGTGTGGAAAATAGTTTGAAAATGAAGTTTTACCTGAGCCAAAGAGGGTGTCTGATATTCTATTCCATTGAAAAGTTCAAAGCAAGAAGAACGAAGAAAAGAAAAGAAGGTGAGCATGGGGGACGCGTTGTCGGCATAGATGCAACTCCAGTGAAAAAAAGACCATGGAAGGGATGGAGCAGGATAGATAAGTAATGGAAACATACCACGTTTTGAGATGTTTGGACCGGGCAACCAGTGAATTATTCTTGTGTGCAGCTTTCGGCCTTGTAGGGTTATCTTCTTTTCGGCTTGATCTCTTGGAAGGCAGCCTAGTCGAGGGAGACTTGGACAATATGACCAAATCTCGGACCACAGATCGTGAGGGACGGCAGGATCATTTGGGAGCACACTTACACACACACGCACACACCTGGAAACACCCATAGATCCGAGTGGAAGAGACCATGAAGAAGAGAAAAGAAAAAGTTTAAATACAGGACGGTAATTAACACTAGCGCCAATGCTCCCTTCCGTCCCCATGCAGAAATGCCATCATTTGTCTCATGAAGTTCCAGTGTCCAATGCTCCCCATTGCAGCAAAAGGAAGCGACCCTCTAATGAACATGAACCCAGTTCCAGAAATTGAGACCACAAGAGAGAAAACTCCTCAGGTATATACAGCAACTGCGCCTCTTCTCTATGTGCAAGGTCCTGCATAACGTGTATCCTTGAGTACGTCGAAGAACGAAATCCGCCCTAAAATACAGCCCATCCCATCACTTTATGCCCGCTCAATATTAAGTGTGCCGCTTAGTTTTTCTCAGCCATCTGATCGTTTCCCCTTCCTCGTACTCGTCATGAGCTTAAGCTCCAGTGGCCAGAAACCCTTTGTTGTCTGTTTATAGGAGTCGCGTGGCTTGTTCTCGATTTTTTGTCGGCATATGGGGCATTTGTTTTTCTGGTTCTCTATATTTAGCGCTGATACAAGGCAATCCCCGCAGAAGAGGTGACCTATAAGAACAATGTCAATAACTTGGTTTCAAGATAAGAAAAAAAAATTAAGGCTCCCTAGAAAACATACCACAATGTGTAACCGTGAGCGATGTTGCTTGGTCCATGCATATCGCACACTGAAAAGCCCCCAGCTTGACACGTTCCGCTTTCTTTTGTTGCCGTTGCAGCAAGAGCTCGGGGACCTTGGTAGGATCTCGTAGGTCGATAACATCAGGGTCGTTATCAGAGTCTGACCATTCTAATACGTCGTCCCCTGCCGCTGTGTGGGTGGCTTTTTGGCGCTTCGCGGAACTCGACGAGGACGTTGGTCTTCTTCTCTTAGGTGTCGTCGTTGTAGGACTCGAGCTAGGTACAGGGGCGCCGGACAAGCCAGCGGCGGCACTACTCCGCTTCCTCGAAGACATGGTCTGTATCGGTTGTGTAGGCTCGCGTGTTGTGGGAGTAGAGGCAAAACTTTCAATGTTCACAGATGTTGACAAAACGGGAAAGGGCGACGCGGCTACAAACCCTCGAGAGGGCGTTGGAGGCACAGCGAGATGCGATGAACCAGACGAGGGCACAGCAGACGTTTCTTGATCGGGATTCGGCGTAGGGCCCTCGTACAGAGCAAAATCACGGGTAAATGTGGCGGCCACGGAAGGAGAGGTTACGTTGATCGTCGTGGGCTGGGAAGTCTGGTGGAAGGGGTTTCGAGTTCTGGAAAGTCTGGAAAGCCGTAGTGAGGTCGCGTTGCTGCCAAAAATCCCCAAGCCGTAATCGGGGTCTGGGTCGGTCTCGAGGTTTTCGTTCGAATGGAAGTGGTCAAAAAGACTCGGCGGACTCGATACGCCTAGGAACGGAGCCCTTGAACTGGCATAGGATGCAGGAAAGATCGAGGGTAACGGATACAGCAATAGCGCTGGGTCAGTCGGCGGGACGCTGGGGAACGATCGCTCGAAGAAAGCAGCCTCAGCGTGCAAAGGGTTGGATGTTTCGGGGGAAGGCAGAGAAGCGGAGGTCGGGATCTGGTATTGGAAGAACGAGGTTTGATTTTCGTCTAGTAAAAAAAAAAAAAAACGATTATTAAGGCGCTTTCTCTTTCGTAGGTGTTGTTGGGATAAAGCGGCGAGGATGGACAAAGAATGTGTGGTGAGAATCAGATCAAGAAGCGCTAGGGCGGGGTGTTCAGGAGGAGGGCGGGATTAAGAAAACAAATGGAGGCTCCAGCCGCGGGATTCTAGCGATGTCATCCACATATCACAACAGAATAACAAATGACAGAGGGGTCGAGGGTGGGCGCTCCAATGCAAGACGATGCAAATACGAAGTAGGAAATATGAGACAAGAGGAAAGAGGCGAGAGGCAAGAAGTTAGGTTGAGGTTATGTCAACGGGAAAGGAAGACGGGAAATTAGTAATAATAGTGGCGATTGAGTTTAGAGACTTCAATTGTTCAGAATCGTTACCTTCAAAGTGGTGGTGATGGATGAGCGAATCGATTGGGAGGCGATCACCAGCTCCTCCAGTGTTGTTCGCCATGCCACAGCGGCCGCCACAACTGTTCATGGATTGAAATTTGATTGATCAATCCAGTGTAAAGTCCGTGTGATGCCTGGAGTCGACGATTACACTGTGTCGTTCGCATTCCGAAGTCAGTCTGAAGGTTGACAGTTGTCGACAGCTGTAATCACAGTTGGCAAAAAGGTGATGTTGAATGATCGAGTCTTGTCGCCTACTTCTTCGATCCTGAGGTTTGAAGCAGCAATTCGGATAACGAGACGGCAAAGATGCCAGACAGTAGGAATCAGTCAGCTCATAGGGGACGTGTCGAGGCCGAGGCGATCTTCTCAAAGTGTCTGTCGACCACAGAAATTTTGGGCGCCGCAACTAGAGACACCTTCGTAGTTCCAGAGCCCGAGAACTCAAGTGACGAAGTATTAGTTCCAAGTTCAAGGGCCGGATGTGGCAAGTGAGAAAGATTAGAGCGATAGAAATTCACAAAAGGAAACCCCGGGTCGCTCAAGTCAAAAAAAGAAAAATAATGGTCGGTCAAGGGAATCAAAAAAGACCACGAGATTAAAACATGGCAAGCAGGCGAAGGAGAGGGGAGCCGTCTATTATTATACTACCCAGCCCTTGCCTTGGCTGACCCTCTCAAGGGAAGACTGGCCGGGATCCTGGCTACAGGCGACGGGAATTCGGGGCTAGGCGACTCGAGTGTGTGGTGCATCATCAATGCACCAAACGGTAGGTGGAACAGGGCCGCGCTCCTTGACTTTCAAAGGATGTAGGGCCTCTATTTTGCGGCGGCATGAAGCTGAATGCTGATGCGGCCAAAGTAGGCAGGCATCCCGGGCTGGTGCTTTCTATTTGTCCAGTGTCTGAGTCCAGGTGAAAACGATTCAATGTGATTCGAAAAGGGGAGTTCGATGCAACCCCGACGCTGCTCGAAGCCCAGACCAGGCTGTTCTGTCAGACCACGAAATGCGAAGTGCGGCGCTGCCGGGTGCTCGTTCCGCCCACTCCACTCCCCCATTTCACTCTCACCAGTTGCCACAAATTTCCACTCTTTGCCGAGAAGGGTAGGCTAGGTTGGGCAACAGCTTCGATTTCCTAACATTGGCTTGGCGCTATGTGTACACTACATGTGTGCGACCTGTGCCAGAAGGCCCAAGAGAAGTCCAGCTGAATGACCTTGGGAGTGGGCCCCCTCAACGACCATGAAATCGGGAATAATTTAAGAGACGACAATCCTACATATGTCCTCCACCCAGCGAGGGCGTAAATACAAAGGTAGCACTAGGCGCCATTAAGTGGTTGCAGGAGCGGCAGCCACCCTTGCTCCCAAGTCTCCCATCCCATCCCCTGTGCGTGCAGTCTCCGTTTCTCCCAGTGACCGATCGCCCAAGCGAGTCCGGCCAGGCCAGCATGTGATGCATCACCGATGCAAAGACGTGACCACCAATGGAATCCTAGGCCAGGCCCAGGACATCTCCGAACGCAGGGTCTTGACCGAACCCGACATTTTATCCATGGAAGGTGTACGGATGTGGCAGGCAAGAACTTAGAAAACTCAGTCGGCGATCCAAATTGTGCATTTCCCGGGCCGAGTTGTCTCACCTCAGTGCTCTCTCGCCTGCTCGATTCCGAAGGGGCTAAATGTAGGGACAATGGAGGGAGAATGGAGGGACCAGTCACATCTGCGCTCTGATCCATCGCACGATAGAGCATCTCCTGCCATTATCGAATCTCCGCCGCCTCAGCCATGACCGGACATGTCAGACATTCCTGATTCGCGAAGACTTACCAGCGGAGATTTCTCAGTCCTTGTGTCGGAGACAGCCAGCGGAGTAGTCTTTTCTGCTCTCCTCTCCCTCTCTCTCTCTCTCTTTGACCAAGTCTATACACCTACTACTTCGTACTTGTAGTTCTATCGCTCTCTTGCTTCTTAGAATGGTTACAAGACCGCCTCTCTTTCCCGGACAAGTATGTCTCAGAGGCTTTAAGTCTCGAGTCAAGGAAGTACACTAGTCTATTATTAGTGGTCCCTTGAGTAAGTGATGTCCATCCATCCAAGACAAGGATAGCAAGTGGCTTGATAAAATGCCGAATGTCAGGATCGAAGTCCCCAAGTCGAAGAGCATATTATCAATGGTATTGGTCGTCGGCACTTGGCAGATCTCGTCCGCGACCCGAATTCCGACTTCAACAGGATTGCAGAATTAAACTTGGCTATCGTTCAAGAAGCATTCTTTCGTTTGATCAATGTTGCTTGCTTGGCTACTCTCGAGGATCACAATCACGAACGGAGATTGCGAAGGATTGGTTAGTGAGTCTATGGTATAATTATGTCGCTTACTTTCTGTTCAACACTGATAAAACCAGCAGCCTACATTGCAACTGCGCTCGAAATTATACATGTATCAATTATTAGTGATTGTCGAATTGCAGGTACTCGCCAACGCCAATTCCAGCAATACAACTGTATTGTCCCGAGTATAATTCCTCTCATCTCACTCTTCAAGCTCCAAACCCAACAGTAGTGTATAATATATTTGGGTTTACTCTTGTTGTTTTAGTCGTCCCGTTATTATATCCTGATGCCGTTGTGGTCTTTCGATCTCGAAACACTAATTCTGGAAGATGTCATTGGATCCAGTCTTGGTGCTAAGAACTTGGAAGCTCGATTGTGGGGCACGTGTGAAATTGCCCTGGTCTCGTCGCGATTCTTCAAACTGTTCAACCGTGATTTTGCTCTTCGTCAAACCCCATCCCCGATCAGCTCCTCAAGTCATCGACTCCTCACCAGTATTCCGAAACATGCGAATTTAAGTAGCTTGCGGTCGATGAGACCCTGATACTGCATTTATCTGAGGACAATAGAAATCCAGAATCTGTGCAGTAATGTCCAGCTGCAGAAACGATGGTGTATTCCGCCGCCAGGCATGTCCGCCGTCCCATGACAGCCTCCTTTTATAGGATACCACGGGCAACATTACCGCATCCTCATCTCTCCGCGTACCATGTTCGCTGGAAATCTGTCGCCTCAGTCGACCCTTCGCTTTCGACCAACTCAAACGATTCCCTAACTCGGACTTTGGCTGGTACGTGCAGCTTAGTCGCACCCGTCCGCTGACTGACCTCCATTTTTTTTTCTTCGCCCAATGCTTGATAGTTAAAACCTCTATCTAACATCGCTTCAAGTGCCGTCGCAAGCGCGATTTAGCGAAATCGGCGTCCAACACCTTAGTAGCCACGTCCATCGCCAAATATTCCCCGACGGCTGCAAGCCTCCTCCCCCGAGCCTTGTTGAGCTTGCGAAGGATCATCTCCGGCGCCATGATCTACTCGGGAAGAACAACGACAACGGCAAACCCATCGCATTCGATCTCCCCGCCCTCCAGGGCCGAACCCTCGACGAACACTTCTACAAGCTCGGCCTCGACTGCGCCGAACCTTACCTAAGTCTCTCCAAAAAGTTTGCTTTGGCAAGCTTCCCACCAAAGCCGCGGAAATGGATGCACAGGAGTGGATGGACCAAGTATCTACCAGACGGAACGTCGCAGCCTGTCGAGGCTCCCGAGGAGCAGGCGATATGCTTCGATACCGAGGTGATGTGGAACGAGAGCCCCTTTGCCGTCATGGCATGCGCCGCTAGCCCCACGGCCTGGTACATGTGGCTCTCGCCTTGGTTGCTCGGAGAGTCAAAGTCGAACCGGCATCTCGTTCCTCTCGGGGACCCTACCAAGGACCGGATCGTCGTGGGTCATAACGTTGGTTACGATCGCGCGAGGATATTAGAAGAATATGATATTAAGCAATCACGCAACTCGTTTATCGACACCATGTCCCTTCATGTCGCCGTAAACGGAATGTGTTCTCAACAGCGTCCGACCTGGATGAAACACAAAAAGAACCGAGAGCTTCGCGAGCGCATCGCGAGCCAGACCGAAGACCTCGCCCTCGCCGAGCTTCTCCATAATTCCGCCATCCGTCACGAGGAGGAGGAACTTTGGGTCGAACGAAGCTCCATCAACTCCCTGCGCGACGTCGCAAAGTTCCACCTCAACGTCACCATTGACAAGGCCGTTCGTGACGACTTTGGCGAGCTCGACAGGAAAGAAGTGCTCGCGAAGCTAGATGAGCTGATGGACTATTGCGCCGCGGACGTTGCCGTCACCCACCGCGTGTACCAGGTCGTTTTTCCTAACTTCCTAGAAGTCTGCCCTCACCCCGTCAGTTTCGCGGCCCTCCGGCACTTGTCATCCGTAATTCTTCCCGTCAACAAATCCTGGGAGAGATATATCGCCAGCGCCGAAGCGACGTATCAGAAGCTCAGCGACGCCGTGGAGGAACGACTAATCACTCTCACCGAAAAGGCTCTTGAAATCAAGGACGATCCTGATAAATGGAGTACTGACCCCTGGCTGAAGCAGCTCGACTGGTCGGGCCAAGAAATTAAGATGGTCAAGGGTAAAAAGAAGGGCGACCCTCCTCGACCTGCTGCTCGACAAAAGAAGCCCGGTATGCCCAAATGGTACAAGGATCTATTCGCTAAGAATGACGCGCCTATTAATATCACGGTACGTACACGAATCGCACCGTTACTTCTAAGGCTAGCCTGGGATGGCCACCCATTGGTCTGGTCGGACACATACGGATGGACGTTTCGCGTATCGCGGGGAGAAGCTTCCAAGTATACGAATAAGCAGATGGTGCAATGCGACTTTACCGATGAGAAGATAGAGGCTCTCCGGGAGGACTTCGACGGGGTCTACTTCAAACTACCTCACAAAGACGGCCCGTCGGCTCGGTGCGCAAACCCGATGGCTAAGGGCTACCTAAACTACTTTGAAAACGGAACGCTCTCGTCCGAGTACTCCTACGCGAAAGAGGCCCTCGAGATGAACGCGTCCTGCTCTTACTGGATAAGTGCGAGGGATAGGATCATGTCCCAAATGGTTGTCTACCAAAGCGATTTTGACAAGTCCTTCCGCAAGAAGAAGAAAGATAATAACGAGTACGGCTTTATATTGCCGCAAATTATTCCAATGGGGACCATCACAAGAAGAGCTGTGGAGAACACATGGCTCACGGCGAGCAACGCGAAGAAGAACAGGGTGGGCTCTGAGCTCAAAGCCATGGTCAAGGCACCACCAGGATATAGCTTCGTCGGCGCTGATGTCGACTCTGAGGAGCTCTGGATTGCCAGTCTATGCGGAGATGCGACATTCAAGCTTCACGGAGGAAACGCCATCGGCTTCATGACTCTAGAAGGAAGCAAAGCTGCGGGGACCGACCTCCATTCGCGCACGGCTAGCATTCTCGGAATAACGAGGAACGACGCCAAAGTTTTCAACTACGGCCGCATCTACGGAGCGGGTCTCAAGTTCGCGGCGACGCTTCTCCGACAGTTCAACCCCACCCTATCGGAGAAGGAGACCACGGAGATTGCTTCGAAGCTCTACGCTACGACCAAGGGAAAGAGGACGAACCGAAAGACGCTCTGTAAACGGCCGTTCTGGCGCGGCGGTACCGAGTCGTTCGTCTTCAACACCCTGGAGCAATTCGCCGAGCAAGAGCGCCCGCGGACGCCCGTACTTGGTGCCGGCATCACAGAGGCCCTGATGAGCAGGTTCATTAGCAAGGGAGGCTACCTCACCTCCCGTATTAACTGGGCCATTCAGTCCTCTGGCCAGGATTATCTCCACCTCCTCATCGTATCGATGGACTACCTCACTCGACGGTTCAACATCGACGCGCGTCTCGCCATCACCGTGCACGACGAGATCCGCTACCTCGTCAAGGATCACGAGCGATACCGCGCCGCCATGGCGCTACAGGTCGCCAACCTATGGACGCGTGCCATGTTCTCGCAGCAGATCGGCATCAACGACCTACCACAGTCCGTCGCCTTCTTCTCAGCCGTCGATATCGATCAGGTCCTCAGGAAGGAGGTCGATATGGATTGCATCACGCCGAGCCACCCGGAGCCAATTCCCCACGGCGAGAGTATCGATATTGTTAAGCTGCTGGAGAAGGGGCCCGAGGCGTGGCTCGATCCCGCCATCGTCCCTGAGAAGCATGCGCCGAAGTTGGAGGGGATTACTTACACACCTCGCAAGCCCGTCATGCAATCGCTTCAGCAGGATGTCGAGGACCCTCTTGCCTTCATCAAGGCGCAGATCACCGCCGATGATGACGAGCTGAAGGAGCTGATCAAAAGCCAAAGGAAACCTCCCGCCGCCAGTACATCGTCATCGGGGGGCGCGCGAAGGGGTAGACCGGTTTCGCTCAAGGGCGTTCTTCCGTATCACTCACAGCCGCAGTTGATGCCCATGGAAGAGCCCATTTCCGTAGGCGAAGCCATGGGCGCGAGGTATAAGAATGGGTATCAGAAGGGGAAGCCGGAGTGGGAGAAGGGTGTGAGGAAGTCGACGCATGCGTATGCGTGGAATATGTGATTTTCAACAACTACAGACGATGGGCGGTGTGTTGTTTACTTGGCCTACGCCTATATTTTTTTCTTCTGTCATGTACTACTATATTGTCTACATGTACTTTTATGGGGGTCGGGGGATGTATGAGGCGTCGAAAAGTGTACCATCAAATGGCGTTGGATAGAGTATGGCGGAGGGCATTGTTGGGGTTGGTGTATACGATCATCGGAGATGTTATGATAGCATTTAAGCCTTAATGAATTACTGTCTAATCCATTGTAGTCTGTCTCGAGATTCTTGAATATGCTGCCTGACCAAATCGGCCAAGTTCAAAGTCGTGAATCCGTGTAACTTCCACGTTGTCTAAATTCGCTTGGAACGTATGCTTGATACGTGAAAATTCGGCTCGAGATTCTCACCGTCTCATGGAATCAAGTGGTCAAGCAGTGACGCACTGCTTATAAACTACTTCCGCAATGCGCCGGCGTGGAACCCGGTTTGGTCAAACCATGGGACGTGGAGGAAATTGGGAATCTAGGCAAAGGAAATTGAGACTTTGGGGGGGGGGGGGGGGGAAGGGGGAATTTTTTTTTTTTTTTTTTGTTAAATTATACTAATTATTTCTTTTTATTATTTTACGCGAAGGAATCTCTTGTCAGGGCTCTCTGTTGAGGTTGTGATATCTCGAGGCTGGCGGAGGTGAGGCGAGGGGCGAAGCTTGGAGAGGTTGTGGGTTCGAAACTGGTGCGAGACTTTTGCAACTTTTTTTTTTCGCCCTTCTTCTCTTTTAAGATAGTTCTCGAGTTCTCCGCTGAGCCTTTTGCTGTACGAAGTAGTAGGCATCAAATCATGGAAAACCCAAAAGGCGGCGTAGAGTTCCACAGGCAGGAGACACCACAAACTTCATAGGGTCGTACCTACCTTCATGGCGAAACTTGAGACATGAATCACAGATCAACTCGGCGGTCAAACCTTACAACCCAACATGCCGTCTACACAACCCGAGGCCAAAAAGGACCAGCCAGACCAGGTGAGCTACTACCATCCTACAACCACCGTTAACAACGCCAAGCTCGAACCGTCGACACGATGCGATACCAGCACACATACCTCGTTCTGGCGTCCGTCTACGCCGCCTTCGGCTCACTACCTCTCGACTCCTCTAGCAAAGTCTCACTTTAGCAGGCCGAGTCCGAGACGAGCTTACCCTTCCCCAACGCCATACCTCAACCCATAACCAAGCCCTCGGGAACCAACTCAACAATCTACATCGCGTCTTTCTTCACGCCGCCCTCCCCCCGTCCCAAGGCATCCCGCCACCACACATCCTGGGTCCCCTCCCCAGATCCCTACAAGCTCTGCGCCGACAGCACCTTCACGTCCGAAACGACGCCCGACACGCCCTACACAGCATCCCCATCCACGGAGGACTGCCTCGCCATTCAGCAATGGGGACGTCTCAACGCAGGGCACTGGGTCGTGTCGCGGCATGAGCTGCTTACTACTTCGGCCGACGACTCGAATATGCGATGGGCGCCGTTGCTGGTCCTGGATTCGTGCGCGTTCGTCGTGGGTGTTAGGAGGGAGTTTCTGAAGAATTTGCCGTGGGGGGTTACGGTTTCGAGTGCTGATGTGGCGAAGGTCGTCTGGGAGGCTGTGAGTAGTTTTCAGATTGGGGGGAAGGTGTTGGCGAGGGGGAATATGTTTTGTCTTTCGTGGGATCGGTGGGAGACTGTTATTGCGCCTGTGGATTGGAGGATTGTGAGGTGGGAGGGGGAGTCTTGAGAGGGACTTGCACGGGTTGTTGCTGGCTGATGCTCCGCTGGGGAAACGGACCATATGGGATCGATGTTTACACGCTACTCAAGTTGGAGGAAATGAAAAATTACCACCATGAACGGCAATGACGGCCGAAAGATCTTGACGGGTAGTATTGGAGATGTCCTTGGTCCGAGTATCCCTCTCCACGCAGCCAGCCTACCATCCGGCTAAATCCAAGACGCATTGACATTGCCTCCCTTGCCCATCCATTGATACTCCCGCACTCAATAGGGATCAAGTGTGGAGATTAAGAAGCAGGAAATGCAGGTACCAGGTAGTGTATGTAGCAGTGCAGAAAGAAATCACACCGCGTGGTCCACGGTTCCTCCTCTCTCTCCACCGTTGCAAGTTCCACAAGCTCGTTCTCCTACCTAGGAAGAACCTACGAAGTACGGTGTTCCATGATGCTTTCTTCCACGTTATTCCGGACGTACGCGGATAATGGCTGCGGAAATAACGCTGGGGTATTTTCCCACCAACACAATAAAGCGGCTCGCGTCCATGCAAAGACGGCGGTTCCTGGATGAAAGGGTTCCCCGGCACGGGAAGGTGTGGGAAGAAGATGGCAACTAAGATAGAAGCGGGCGCACCGGGTAGGTAGATAATATTAAACTTCTCTTAGGGAATTGGTAGCATCTGTCAATTATTTTCTCTCATTCCGGCTCCTTTCGAGTACTGAAAAGCCCGAGAGCTCGTATAAGATAGAGAAGGCGCGACCGTTATAGACGCATGATGGGGTAGGATGCTCATTTATATAGATCATTGTAGGATCTCGCCCCGAGGACTTGGCTCTGCTTCACATTTCCCCTTCCACCCAGGATTCGTATTAATTGATCGTCATGGTGTCCTGGCGGGTCACTATATTGGCCATCTTGGCCCCAGCTGTACTTGGAGCTCCTTCTACTGCTCAACTAAAGTCCGACGTAACGATTCTGATCAACAATGATCTGCAAGGTAAGTGATATAATGACGGTTTTGCCATGTGCGAAGCAGGTTGTGCAAAACTGACGTTGAAATCGCAGGCCCACATAGTCCCTCTGCTGATTCGGGCGTCCTCTTCCTCAGTGAGAAGAAGACCCGAAAGCAGGCCAAAGCAGCGTGTCAGGCTCTGGGTGAGTCTCTGTGGTCGCCGGACTCTGAGACTGCTAGCATCCAGCCAAATCTCAATTACCTTGCTTATCAGAAGCGGGTCAAGAAATCTTCCAAGTTCTGGGTTGCTGCCGAAGGAGATGGTGCTCGCAGCATATCGGTTTCTGGAGAAGTCGCCAGTGAAGATGGCTCTGTTCGGCTGCCTGTTCTCTGCACACAGACGGCGCCGTTCTCAAACAACACAGCGCAGGACACAAGCGAACAGTGGCAAATCACGGTTGAATCCAATAACGAGAAGCTCACCGGGTACGGTCATAACCACACCCAAGGCTCGCAAAAACTTCGTCGCACAAAGCTAATCATACTCTTGCTTGTAGCTTCCGTGACAGGAACACTTTTCGATTCCTCGGTATCCGATATGCTCCCGAGCCGCAGAGATTTGCCTACTCCGAGGCCTACAAGGGCAACGGCAGCGACGTCTCAGCATTGGAATACGGATCTCAATGCTTCCAGTACGGCTCGGGCTCTGAAGACTGCCTGTTCCTCAATATCTGGACACCCTACCTCCCCCGGTCGGGATGCGCGAAGAAGAAGAACCTCAAGCCCGTCATGTTCTGGATTCATGGCGGCGCCTTTACTGGAGGCACCGCCAATGACGAGACGTTCGACGGCGCCAACATTGTCTCGCGAGGCGACGTTGTTCTCGTTGCGATCAACTACCGTCTTGGAAAGCTCGGATTCCTTGCTCTAGATGACAGAGAGACTAATGGAAATTACGGTCTCGCCGATATTGTCGTTGCCCTGGACTGGGTTCGCGAGAATATCAAGGATTTTGGAGGAGACCCTGACAGGATCACCGTGTTTGGGCAGAGTGCTGGAGCAGGTGCCGCGCGTGCTTTGATTGCCTCGCCTGAAGCTAAGGGTAAGTTCGCCGCGGCCATCCCGCTTAGCAACCTCGGCGGCTTAGGCTATGGCACGACATATTCGAAGTATTTTACCATATCTGAGGCGGCGGAGCGGGGAGGAAATGCTCTCGTCGAGGCTGCCAACTGCACCGATACTCCCTCGCCGGTCGAATGCCTTCGAGGTCTTCCTGTCGACCAAGTTACTAGCCTCAACGGCGATATACGCTACCTCGTGGTAGACGGAAAATATCTCACGTCTGATGAGCTCCCTCTCTCCCCTGGCGAAGCCCTCGACATCCAACTTATGATGGGCATCACAGCGGAAGATGGCGGCCCGTTCATCTCGTTCCAGCAAGACATCACAGCCGAGGAACAAGAGAAGTGGATCACCTCCCAGGGCTTCCCCTACCCCTCCAGCGACCTCTACCCCCTCGCCCCCCTCGACAACATCACCATGGCCGTAGACTGGAAAGGCGCCCAGCTCGCGACCGACGCCGTCTTCCGCTGCATCGATCAAGCCACCGTCAACGCCGCGCTCACCAACTCCCTCCTCCCCCACGTCTACTACTACGAATTCGACCGCACCTACCAGACACCGGGATGGCCCAAGACGGACCTCTGCGAACCGCAGGGCCGTCCCGACGGCGACCCCTCGGCGCCACCGGGTTACCTCCGCTGCCACAGCGGCGAGCTGCTCTACGTCTTTGGAAATATTGCGCGCGAGGGGCTCCCGTTCCGGGATAACCGGGACCTCGCGTTTGAGCAGCTCACGCTCGACATGTTCGCTTCTTTTGCGCGGACGTACGATCCGAACCCCGATGAGGCGTTTCTTGAGGCGAGGGGGTTCGAGAGCACGCTTGGTGCTGTGCGGAGGACGGGGAGGTGGGAGGCCGCTGTGGATGGAGATTTGAAGCTTCGGGCTTTGGACTGGCCTGGTGAGGAAGGGAGCCAGATGGAGGGCTTTAGGAGTGCGGAGCGGTGCGAGTGGCTGGAGCTGGGGTTGGACTATTACTTGTGAGGTTGAGGTTCGCACCGATGCTGTTGGCAACTCGGCACGCCCAACCATCTTCAGACCTATACTTGGCTAAAAGAGACAGCAACAGAAAAATGCCACTTTGAAGTTTTGAATCACATTTATGGATCGAAACAAGGAAACATTCCCTCAAAGCTGTCCAAGAGGTAGTGGAGCGAGTGGGTATAAGCGGGCCTCGTCATTTCACTATTCCTGGACTAGATGAATTAGGCGTGGCTAGAAACAAGCGAAAGATTCTCAGAGTCAGTCACTTGGGGCCACCACAAACCCACAAGCGAAGAGAAAATCCCATATAGTGTAGAGGTTATCATTGTGCCCTCTCATCGAGAGGCGAGAAGCAAGGCATAGACCCCGGTTCGATTCCGGGTATGGGAGCTTAGTTCTAGTTCAATTTTCTTTTTTCCCTCGTTTTCTTTCTTTCTTGTTCAGTGCCTCTCACCAACATTTTTTTCTTTTGCCCGAAAAACTTTGGAATTTTCTCCGACTTTTTCCTTTGAGTCTGGGTGGCTGACGGGCGTGGGATTCCCAACCTCAACCCTCTGTCTTAAAAGATTAATTGGCTTGGGAATGTCATTTCAAGCTTTCAGGTTTTAAGTGTACGCAGTAAAGATTGGACCAGGTCTTTTTAAAATCCCACGATGTTGTTCTGGGCCACCCCCCGTTGGATTCTCGAGACAGCGCTAGGCTGGTTTCAGCATGGCGGCAGATGCTACTTGTATGCGCTACCACCCGTTTCTCCCGCCGGCCGGTCCCGAGAAATCGTTCGGGGTTTTTCAAGGTCCGCTCGGACGGAGTGGGGAACTCGGGCGCCGCTGTCTTCCGGCTTAGGATGATCACAGAAATGGACGTTCCTGCGGCAGCTCTATTTGCCTACCAAAAAACAAATCATGGTGTACATTAATTTGTATGTGTCTATTTGCGATACTGAGAGAGCAGACACGAAGATAGAGCCCTCCGCTCTCTGTTTATGTCCGCGTGCTAATCTTGCTTCGTTCCGGGAGATTCCCATTCCAAAGAACGAGGTAGTCGAGATGTGCAGTGGTATCGAAAATAGCGAAAAATGCGATTCGCGCCCGTCGGCAGATACAAAGACCGCATCAAGAACATAGATTGATCTTGAAAAGGGCTAAAGTAAAGTAGCCCTGCCAACGTCCCGCCCCTAAGAGGTCCTCCCGCTCAGCGATTAGAGCCCAATCAAGCCCCAATCCACTCCCTCCCATTTTTCGCTTCTAAGCCACGCAATCTCGTCGCGAGACACAGGATGAGAAGACGCAACAGTCGCGACCAACCTCTCCACCCGAGCTCTCGCCGCGGCAACAGCGGAAATCTGGGCCTCTCTCGCAAGGATAAAGACGACTGCGATAGGTGAAGGAATGAGAGGGATATGCGGCCGAAAACTTCGCGGGATGAAGCGTATGATATCTCGTCCGGAAGATGCGACAAGATACGCGAGAAATGCGGTAAGGATCAACGTGCTGCCGAATCGATGAAAAGAAGAGCAGGACAAAAAAAAAAGTTAGGCAATGCCCTACACGTTGGAGGGAGAGGATGGAGGAACTCACATGGCGCCTGTACGCACCCAGACTGTCTGCCGCCTCGAAAGCAGGGACCTTTCCAGCCGAGCGAGATTGGAATCGAGCTCCGATAGGGCCAGTTGGATAGAGAATTGGGTCTGGCGCACTCGATCAAGCACAAGCTCATCATCTTCCTCGAGACAACCTGGGGGGAATTCCTCAGGCTGGAGTGGGTCAGAGGCTATTGGAGTTTAGCGCATCAAGGGTTCACATCTCTCCTCTCAAAATAACACTCTACATACCTCTAGGTATTGTGTTGCGAAGGAGTCCTCGTGAAGCCGCAAGCCATTGATATCGCCTGTACTGTTTCAAGTAGCTGGCTGCCTGAGTTTTCGCAATGCCAGCACTGGGGAAGGGCAGTGGCCATGATGAGGTCGCCAGGAGGTGCTGCTGAAGTAACTGAAGTGGAGTCTGGTCAGTAGGTTCATCTGTCATTTTTCTCCCTTTTATTCCTTGATTGAAAGGCAGCCGTTCATGATCAGGGTATGAAAACAGTGGAGGTGTTTCGTTATTTAAGAGTGAGAGGAAGAGTTCACACTCGAGGCCGGAAATGAGGGTGAGAGGGCAAGAGTTGTCAATGATCAATGATTCGGTTGAAAATTTGGATAGCAGAGTGCCGAGGAAACTGGCGTTGAATCACTTCCTTCTTCCATCTCGCTCAACATCGATTCAGAATCAACCCATTGCATCCTTTGACTATGTGTACTGGAGCAAGGTTGAGTGTAAAAGCTTTACAAGAAGGCCTTTTACCTATGCTGCTGTATAGGATGGAATGGAACAGTTCCAACATGACAATGCGAAGATACACATAGTAAATAGAACACGGACGTCAAATGGTTGCTTGAACATGGAATCTTTCCAATAAAGCGGCCCGCACATTCCCCCCAGCTTAACCCCATTCAACATGTCCCGAAGGCCTTTAAAAGGGAAACTATGTGAACGGCATCCTGTATTTCATCTTCTTGGAAATGATGAGACGGATATGGCCCGTTTCAAAGACACGTCGAAGGATTGACGGAATGCAATAACATAGGCAGCCATTAGAAAGCGCCTGAAGGCAGTTATTTGTGCCATCAACATCAATTCTTAGAGCCGCCTTTGAAGTAATGATCAAATTGATCCAATGCCTCGGTTTCGATGCTTCAATGCTATCGAGGGGTGAAGGAAACTCAACTCGGCCCTCATTGTCGTCGCCCCCATCTCCTCCATCGTCTCCCGTCTTCCTCGTATGCTGAATTTGATAATAAATTGATTCTGGCCTAACGGCGCAAATGTGCGACGCAATTGTGCATATCGCCTCACATGCCCCACCCCCTTTTCCCTTCCCTTCCCATCCCTCTCCAGACAGCCTCGACAGTCGCCGAAGATTGATACCGCCCTGGAAACCGGGGCCACTCTCACCCTTTAGCGAGAGAAGTCCCATCAATTTAATCGTGATGGGTGGTGTGTGACACAGCAGTACAAGTACTAGACCGCCTGATTTCGCCTAGATTTTCGTGAGCGAAGCAACCAGTGCTGTGACAAATCTGCTTGACGAGCCAGACCTTTTTTCCTCACCGAGGCTCGACATTCCCGCCGAGCTAGAATTCCTATTTTGATATCTTTCCTTTCTTACCTTTTGGGGGAAGGATTGCTCATCGATTGATGTCTCGGGTTGCGGGGAAATGAACCCGGTAACAACTGCAGCGAGGACTTCGTCAGAGGCTTGGGGCACATCATCTTTCCACGTAGCCTGGTCTTTGGCCTGCGTTGTCGATGATGAGTTGTCTGAAGCCAACCAAGCGAATCGTCTCTGCTGTTTATTTGTACCGGTCTCGACAACTCGATATCCAGGCAGCAACTTGGAAATGAACTTTTTTGCTTTCCTTTTTGCTGCCAACCAGGCTTTGTTAGCCACGGCAATGGTGGGTGGGCGACTCCCATGACCAAGATATGGCTCGCCTTGTTTTCTTCTTCTAGTAATCGGAGGTATGTCGTTGAAACGCAGACTGGATTCGAAGCGGTCTCGACCGAGCCATGCATCCATGGATCGGTTCATATACGTCGCTCGGAACACCAACCTCACTTAACACACTTTCCTTCGGTCGTCCCAGCTTCCATTCGAGGGTGTAGTAATGGACAGCCTGGGGCGAGAAGAACCCCACGACGTTGGATTGAGTACTCTAGTTATAAGAAGGCTATCATATTCACAAAAGCAACCGAGGAGAGTAACCGGCTTGTGTCTTCGACAATCCGACCCGACGACCGTTCAGGGAAAGGGTTGCGACACAAGCACAAACAAGCTCTGGTCAAACCACAAATATGGATAGGGACCGGCTCCTCCCCAAAAACCACCAGTCCGGCACAGCCTCCGCGACCAACCGTGAGCCGTGAAACCTGGGGCACTCAGGGCTCCGTGTCTCCCCGTGTCTGTCCGAGAAGGGGGGCAACCCCCGGACAAGGAAACTGCCAAACTCTAAGAAGGGTTGTCAGTGGTACAGGTGCAACATGGTCTTTGTGTGATGTGCTCGCCTTGAAGTTGACACCACGCAACGTAATGTTCTTGTCGTGATCCTTCCTACTCCTGATATCAAACTGAGATACTAAGACGAGGCAAACCTGGCTGGGGTTTTCTTTGCGAATACAGAGATTCACCTCAGAGTATCAGCTGGTTTCGTTATGTTTGCGTTTGCGTTTCGCTTGAATGGTGTTTTTTTCAGTCCAAGAGCCGCTGTGGAGGGCGAGATGAACAAACACCATTCCCAGGGCTACGAGATACGAGATGGGATAACGCCGTTGATTGCGAGGCCCTCGTGAAAAGAAAAGAAAAAAAAAAAAAAAAAAAGCAATCATTCAATCACGGTGATATGCACGCTGCCGCCACCTCCTCGGCCGAAGTCCCCGAAGCCCCCCGCTCAATGTCTCTAAGTTTGGGGCGAGGGCGACGACGCCGAATCGAGCCGTCGCCCGAGAACTTTCTCAAAGTTTCCTTCCAGTTTTGCTTGCTCGCCTCATTCTAGCACAAAGGAGCGCAAGAAAAATCAGGCTATAGATTAGATTAATTTCTTACATACTCGGTGCACAATTGAGCAAAGGATTCATTCCGGGGATACCAGTTGGTGGTGTCGGTCAAGCTCCCCAGTGCCTGACTTGTAAGATTATAGACCCTCCCACCACCTCGCGTCGACTGAAGTCTCTGGTCGCTGGTTAACCATAGCCTGTCGACATAAGGGAAGGAGGCACGAGACTGGCTCGAGTACGTGAGACGTGTCTTCTTTCTTAGGAAACACGTCGCGTCCCGTTGCTACTGGCGTGCGCTCTCCCACGTGCCTTGATCAGTCGAGGGCAGAATGCATGTCCCAATGAGTTTCTCTCGTTCTATTCCGGACGCCAGAAACCAAGACATACAGAACCAGGGAAGGGCGGTACCTA